CCTCTCGCCATCATCACTTGTGTGGGGTTCTTGGCTTAGCCCCTGGCCATGCAATGGAAAAAAGACTGAAAAAGGGCAGGTACGTTTGCACGGGCTTACCGGGGGCGTCTTCGTTGACCACCGCCCCCCGGGGCGCCGGAGGTCCCCTGCAATGTTAAAAGCAATTCAGACCTTGGCAAACAGGTGTTCCACACACACACACAGACACACATATACACACACACACAGGCGCAAATAGCAGCATGCTTGCACTCTGGCAGACTCTAGCAATGCAAGGGGCACCAGGCCGCCGGCAAAGTGGTATCTCCAGAGAGTTGAGCTCGACGTCATATTTCATCGGCAGCGCGTCATGCTGTAATAGCATGCAAGTTCAGGCGCAGCGACCAAAGCGGAAAGGAGTTGATATTCCCATTACCATTCTGAACAATGCTGCATCGCCCTCAGAGGTTCTGGAGTCTTGGCGTCATGTTGAATTCACCGAAGCCAGCCAAGCATTGCAAACACATCAGAGCGATCCAGGTCACGCAAAAGAAGCCAAACGTGACAGATGCGATCGTGGACCGTGTTGCTGACTGGTGACTGTCACTTTGTCTTGATGGCATGTGCTGGGGTCTGATCATGCCATTCCCTTGACCAGCCTGTGGCCTTCAATGCCGGCGGCTGTGGGTTGTCGATCTGTGAAATATGTGGTGGCCGCGACCGGTCGCCATGCGTAACGCCCGAAGCCAAATCCGTAAAGTTGCAGCCAGAAGCTGCAGCTCGGAAAAAAGAGTTCGAGGTGACTCGCTCGAGGCCCTCAAAGGCAGGGGGCACGGAGCAGGGGGTTTTTCGATTGGGGATAAACGGCGGCGGTAGCCGGGAAAATCCTTCAAAACCAGCGCAATGAACGGTAGGGCCGGTAGGGATCCTCGTGCTGGGTCGAAGTGGTTTATTGTCCCGCAGGACCAGAAGATGGGGAAACCCGCAAGATTCAGCATCTTGTGCTTAGCAACCTACGGTTGTGTAAGCTGTGTTTGGAACACGAAACGCCAAGGCACCCTCGCGATTAAGGTGTAGATGTTATTGTCTGCTAAACTCGCTGTGTTTCGCTTGTGCGAGTGGTTGTACTTGGGGGAGTGCTTTCGAGGGGGCTCGGGGCTTGTTGCGTTTGGGGGGTCCATTCGACTCGAAGGGTTTCGCGTGCGGGTGTGTGCTTACAAGAAGCAGGTCAAAAGGCGTGTATGCATCGGTTTCGGGTTTAGGGTTTAAGGGGGCCCTCCCTGAACCATGGTCGATGTTATGATTTCTCGCTGTGCCATCGGGGAAGCTTCCGCAGAACAAGCCTTTCTTTCAGAGTTTCAAGCTAGCCCGGCTTAGCAATCCCAGTAGTAGTGAGTCAGTGAGTTTTCTTGCGATTGTCGCATTTTTTGATCTATGTCGTGATTTCTCGCTGTGCCAGGGGGTAAGCTTCTGAAAAAACTACTGTTTTTCCGAGTTTCAAGCTACCTCCGCGCAGCAAATCCCCCAGTAGGGCTGAGTTTTTTTTTTTACGAAAATCGCATGTTTCGGGCAGTCTGTGCCATGGGGGTTTGGCCTCTGGGCTATCTTCTTCACATGTTGGGCTACCCTCTTGTGCCATGGGGTTGGGCTATCTAAAGGGTGGTTGGGCTAATAAACCACGCGCGCTCGTAGTGTTCTGTCATCCCTTCGGGGATATGCAGGAAGGAACTGTCCGAATAGTTATTTGCACGCCATCTTCTCGGGAGCCGGCCTGGCCTGTTTCACAGCGAAACAAGTGAGACACGCATTGTGATGCCAACTTCTGGCTGGCAGTTCCGGCGGCGCCACTGCCGGTTACTTCCTGCGAAGGAGAGGTTCACAGGTGCATGAGTCACTCTTTTGCAGCACGCACACCCTGACTGGAGGAAAGCCCTGGAGTCCGGGGCAACACTCGTCGTGAATCTGCGTCAGGCGGAAATCCCCGTAGGCCCGCAGGCCTCTTGATCAGCTCGGCTCACATCTCTCAGGCACTGATGCTGATAGACGCGCTTTACCAGAAATGGATCACCGAGCGACAAGGACGTGAGTTTTGGACCCTGCAGTCTTGGCAGGAGTGCCATCTCTTAGGCTAGGGAAATGTTCCCACTAATTTTCCAGCCGTAGTATTTTGTGGCAGCTGTCCTGTGCACCTGCGGTGAAAGAGCAAGCTGCCGTTTGCACGGAGTGCGAACGGAAGCACACCGGCTAGTCGTCACATCTGAAGATGGTAGAAGTGCAGAAGCAAGAAAAAGTTTTTCTTCCAGCGCAGTCACAGGCAGCCACATGTCAAAGCCTCAACGGGCGATCAGCCCAACCACAAGCTTGGACCTGACCAGCGTTAAGTCTCTTGAGCTTGACTCTCTTGATCGGTGAAAACAGGGGAGTGACATGGATGCATGAAGATGAGCGCTATGCATGTTCTGCCCCAGCCCAGAAGCACTGCACAAGCCATTGCATTGCCATTGCATTGCCATTGCTGGTGTGTATGTGTGGGTGCTCCGGAGCATAGATCCTGCAATGACCAGCTCGAGGTAGACGGCAGACACGCAGCCGACTTCATAAGCACCGGCTCATGCTTTATGCAGGAATGCCAAGTCAACCCTAGTCTCCTGATTTACCTACAGATGCTTGTATTACGACGTGCAGTCGACACCTGCATGGCACGCAAAACGAACAATGGCAACGTCAAAAGTGCTCGCAAGGCTAAGGCCAACTCAGTCGCTTCCCAGTCTAGGCCCAGTCTCAGAAAGAGCCCTCGCGAGGCACGCCCGGGGAAGCCTCGGGGGCTTTCGAACCGCAGAGCCGCGGAGGAGCTCGGGGTTCGACAGAGCTTCTCGGTGGCGTTGCGTGTTGCATTGCACGCAAATCGCCAAACTCAGCAAGCAGGGCCCGGCGTTCAGGATGCCTCCAACTTGTGATGATGAAGCCTGTGTTCAGCACGCAGGAAGCGGAGATCAGAGCTCTTGAGGCGAGGATTCGAGCAGAGTGCTCGGGCCGCGTCGCTGCGACCACGAGCACCGCGAACGCGGGACAGGCATCAGTCAACTCGCCCCTAAAATGTAGAGATCGGATTCCAGACGTCGCCAGATGTCGCCAGGGGCCCGCCCTGACTGGTCGTCTCTTCCGTGAGCTGCCAATCTCGGAGCGCACTTTGCGCGGCTTGGAGGTCTGATTTTCGCACGGCATCTTATGCAGAAGGAGTTGGGTGATTGACAGGCCTCGAAATACGTCAAGATGACAGAGATTCAATCCGGTGCAATCCCACTAGCTCTTTCTGGCTGAACTCTCAGAGTAAAACCTTCCACGTTCTGTTTGCCTGCTTTCGGTGTACATGTGCTTTTGAACTCTCCAATCGCTGAGGCCGTGACATCTTGGGCGAAGCTCGCACTGGCTCGGGCAAGACTTTGGCATTCCTGGTGCCTGCAGTCGAGTACCTTTACAGGCACACCGCTCCCTCTTCAAGCTACAACTGTGCCAGTACGCATCTAGAACAAAGCAAGTGGCAACATCACAGAAAGGCAAAATTGGTCCAAGATGGATGGTCTGGGTTCTGTGATTGTCCTGAGCTTGGGTAGAGTTGGATGATTTGCCTGCGAACTCCACGACATTTTCCCCAGGTGTCTCCAACGCGCGAGCTTGCTTACCAGATTTTTCAGGCCATGGCCTAAGCACGAGATGCATTTATGCATCTGCAGTTCTCTCGGTGCATGCCAGGTCCTGACGAATGTCGGTCAGGAGCACGAGATTTCTGCAGGTCCACCACATGGGACGCATGATGCTTATTGGATGGTTCCATAGGGAGGCCGTGCGCATGCAGCAGGTTGCATTGTGGGTGGCCGATCTCTTGCAGAGGTGCAGGGCGACATCCAGAGCTGAAGTAGCGTATTGTTGGCCGTGCACGCCTCTTTCAGGAACAGCATGCAGTTGCGAATATGAGCATTCTGGTGGCCACACCTGGAAGGCAGGCTTTGCCGCCTGGAATGCCCGGTCCTATCGTAACCGAAGGCTGTTGCAGCACTTGGACGAGTCGCCGGGCTTCGATGCATCTGCCTTGCTGATTCTAGCCGCCCCGCCACCTTGAGACTCCTCGGTTGCAGTGCCAGCCAGAGCTTGTCCTCACATCGCAGGTCATAGATGAAGCCGATCGCATTCTGGACTTTGGGTTTCAGGTGGACGCCGTCCAAGTTAATGTCCAGCTTGCATTCTCTGACACTCTCAGTAGCCACCTGCCTGCATCGTGTCTTTAGCTTGGCACCTTGTCTCCGTCGCATCGAAACACCATGGAGAAACTGCACAAAACGTGCGGAAAGCTTATGCAGAAGAATAAAGCTGCCACAGTCCTCATGCCGAGAGCAAAGCATTGAACTAATTCGCGGTCTGGGGCTGTGCTGCAAGAGAGCTCGTCAACGGCCCAAGGCAAGGGCTCGTGTTACAACGTGTCACATGACAAGCGAACTCAATTCGAGCAGGGGAAAGCTGTTGCAAGCACAGACAAGGACCAACGACGGCAAGGAGCACACTCTCACACCAGGATAACATGGCTCCAGCAGGATGCCTAAGGAGGTGCACAGACCCAATCAAGGCAAGCACCGAAACTAAGCAGTGCCTCAGAGGCTCTGTCATCTTGGTGCTCCGGGTTTTTACGGACTTGGTCATACGAGAGGAGACAATGCACAACATCCTCCAACACCTGCCTGTCCAGCGTCAGACGTGAAGTGCCCAGTTGACTCCAGAGCACATGATGAATATGGTTATCTCTTCGACTTCTGACTCAGGCTTCTCTTCTCCGCAACCTTGCACAACAGTGTTCACAGACTTGGCCGCGCTGCACTGCGTTCACCGGAGGCAGCGCTAAAGCGTGTGGAGTTTTGTGGGAAAGCACCACGAGTGACGCTTGGAACGACATGTGAAGGTCTGCTGCTATGCTACTGTTGCACCATGCATAGGTCATTTCCGTGCATCACAATGCCAAAAGCCGCACGCCTGAAACTCTGAAGCCAGATCCTTGGTCGACGGTACCGGCAATCAGAATGCCGAATGCCACGCTGGCATTGTTGAAATCGCCATGCAGGCAGATTTACATGGTGGTGCCGTTGGAGAAAAAGGTTGACACCCTTTTTTCGTTCCTTCGACTATCGCTCAGATCATGACACGTGACGTGAGTTTTGGGCCTGCGCTGCAAGTGTACACAGGTAGCCTTCGGAACAGCGCTTGAGCATCGTAACCTCCCAGGATCCCATTCCCAAAAGAAGACCATCGTCTTTGTGTCTACCTGCAAGCAAGTCAGGTGCGAGCCTCAGATTTGGCCATAAGATCATTTCGAGCAGAAGCGGCTGGGCTTTGTAAGACAGACAGGTTCCTCTACGAGGCCTTCAGGAAGTTTCTGCCTCAGCTTCCGCTCTGCATCGCCCTGCTCTGCGAGCCGCGAGGGCGACCTCTTTAAAGGGCACAGGAGAGCGGAGAGGTCGAGTCAGGGTGACCCAAACGGCCCCACCATTTCTGAACAAGCCCCGCAGTGACGAGCTTTGGGGTGTTCGGTCTTCAACGGAAGCACACTGCCGAGCGGTTCCATAGATATGATATCAGTGTGTCAGTCCGTCGGTTCATTGTGCTTCAAGGCTGTCACCTCATCATGCAAAGCGGCTGGCCAAAACAGTTGCGCGGCTGGTGGATGGTGTAGGCAGTTGCATACACCTGCCCAACGTGTGACCCCAGATGACCCCAGAACCAAGCGCTTCGTTCTTGACATTTGTCCAGAGCCCTGGTGTCGCGCAGCAACGGTTTCGGTGCTTCAACTTCATGGTCGGGGGGGAGGGGTGAGGATGGACAACGAAACCCACACATCGACACTGTCGACGGAAGTGGAAGAAACATGCTTCAGAGCAGTGCTGGATGTTGTTCCTGGCAACAAAGAGAGGGATTGATTAACGTCCACCGATGTGATCCACCACAGAAGCCAGCTGCAGCTGCACATCCCGTCCCCGACCGTGGATGGGGTGATGCGTCTTTGGATCACGCTCACAGACAGGTTTCAAAGCCATTCAAAGCGGGAGGGAATACAAAAACAGCGAGTCTGTTCCAAGGGATCCTCCTTCCAGACAAACAAGATAGTCTTCGGGAAGAGATGCATGTTGAAGTGTTTGTTGTTCCTGTTCATTTGTTGTGCAAGCAGCTTCAATCGTGCGCTTCCAGGCTGCTGCGGGTACGAATGCAAAATCGTATTGTCTACAGACTGCGCTTCTCTCCAAACAGAATTTCCTGCTTGCAACTTCTCGGATGCCCAAGGTTGAAACCGGGTCCGGCCGTGATGGAGTTGCATGGCCGGCAGAGTTTGACAAAGCGGATGCTGATTTTCCAGCAGTTCATGGAGCGCCCGGACCTGAGCTGCTGCCAGAGACTCCAAAGCTTCGAGTTCTGATTCGATCTCTGTTGGCTTCGTCTCGGACGTTTGAGGCGAGCGTGCTGTCGCCTTGTTGTGCACGGACATAGCAGCCCGGGGTGCAGCTCCTGGGCAGACGCACGATGACACTGCCAGAAGGCTTCCTGGTCCTTGCTTGTTGAGGTGTGGACTTTCCAGCTGTGGACTGGGTCGTGCAGGCAGGTGGTTGTCTGGTGCCATGGTGGCATCTGCACAGCTTTAGGGATTCGAAGGCTGATTGCCCCGACACAGTGGACTCCTACATCCATCGAGCCTGATACCAAGCTGATGCAGACCAACCCATGGATCGTCAGACGCATTGTTTGACCCAGACACCGGCAACAGGTTGGGCGAACAGCCAGATATGAAAGCCATGGCCCCAAGGAGGGCGTCTTGCTTTCGCTCTTCGCAGCAGGGCATTTGAACCTGCAGGCACGGGCAAGTCGGCACTTTTTTTGCTACCGTCCGAGAAGCCTTTCGTGGACAAATTGCTTCAGGCCAATTCGGAAGTCTGCCGTCGCTCGCATGCCGTCCATGTTTCTCGTATGCGTCTCCTTGAGGCGCGCGTGGGTGTACGAGCCATCAATGCGAAGCAGTCGAAAGTTGTGTCTATACAACAGAAGCTGGAGCTGTCCTCACACGCTTTCACAATATGCGCAGTTGATGCTGATGCCTTTCGCCGATAAGGCCTCGGTGCTCGCCGAATCCGGGGACATTCGCCACCTCGCCCAGCGGGCCTTTGCCTCCTATGTGCGTTCTGTGCTGTCCCGAGCTTTCCAGTTAGAGGTCCGAGAGAGGCCAGGAGAGGGTTGCGAGTTCTTTTGCCAGGTGCGGCTCATGAAAGACAAAGACATCTTCGACTTCCAGGTCCGGGCCGGGGAGAGTCTCCGCCAGCGGTGAGAGGGATTTCTTCCGGTCGGGTACGTAACATGATCGCCGAACATGGCTGTCGAACGGATAGAAGCTTTCTTGGAGGACTATCGCTTTCTTTCGAAGTGCAGCCGGTCATATAGCATGGATGACAGCCCTCGGATATTCTTGCTGGCTGCAGCGTGCAAGCAATTGTTGAACAACGACAGCCGTTGGAACACACGGTGGACTGCATACCGGTGGCGACCACGAACCATGTTTCTTTGAAGTCTCAGACTCTAGTTGTTCGACGAGCCAAAGAAGGGTTGATGCAGTGTCTTCGGTGAAGTTGTGCATCGTGGATTTTTGTTTCGCTTCCCGGCGACACGTTGCGTGGATTTTGTTTTGGACCTTGCGGATTTTCGTGTGAAGATCACAAGTGTCTCTCATAAAGCTCCGCACAAAATCCAGACAAAAATCCGCGCAACAAATAAACTGATGTTGGAAACCGCGCCACATCAAAATCCTCGTGAGCATCGACGTCGCAGAAATTCGGCCAGCAAAAAAAAATCAGCACATATCAGCGTCACCATCCGCATGGTCCGAAAAGAAACCGATGTGTAGCCGGGCCATGGATTGTGAGAAAATGTGAAGTGCATATGAATCTTGCGCCGGAATTCAGGTGAAAACATGTGGCCTCATGTGGTAGGCCAAGCTCGGCTCCAGAATTGTCGTTGCAAGTGGTGTCCAAATTAACAAACCTCCTGTTGCTGCTTTGGGGCAGAAATCCTCATGTTCGCTATCTGCTTTACGAGACATTGTGGTTGCTGTCAGTGATACTGCAGTGACTCGTTTCAGGCTCTGCCCAAGGCTGCCTTTGCAGAGTCTTTGGGCTTGGCCGATGCGCCAGAGATCGGAGCCGAGGGGGAGGCCTGGGCGGAGCGGAGCGCGGAGCGGGGCAGGGCACAGCTCCGTCTGCACAGCTGCGGAGGGTGAGGACACCGAGCACAACAAGCTGAAGAAACGGAAGAACCAGTCTGCCTTGCAGCGGCTCAAAGACAAGATCCGGGAAAAGAAGCAGGTGACTGCTACCATTCAGGAACTGTGCGGAGCTTATGTGCCTCTGTGCGACAGGCCGGAAAACAAGCGCCAAAACAGGACGAGGACGTTAGTTGAACTCGCGAAATTAGACAACCAATGGCAACCATGACAGACTTCGATTGCAACTGTGCATGCGGAGAAGCACGACTCTGGGAACAGCTTATGTGCCGTCACAGGACACAGAGGAGGAGCTGGAGCTGGATCAGCCGCCCAGCTCGAAGAAAAAGGTTGGCAAGTGGGAGCGCCGCCAGCGACGTATCGCTGCAGCAAGCAAGGCAGGCCTAGAGCCTGCAAAGGAAGCGGCAACGGAGGAAGATTTCTTGGAGCTCGTTGAAGGGCAAAGGGAAGGCTTAGAGTCTCAAGCTGTGCTCCCGATCAAGAAGCGCCTGAAGATTCGCAAAGATGGATCAGCTCAGGTCCTAGTCCCAGTTTCGGCGTTTCGGCTGTTTCGACTACAAAAGCCGGCTCTGGGGTTGAGCCAAGGCGAGCAGACAGCACGTTTTCTTCACCGGAAAGAACGGTGCAAAAGCCAGCTCCGAGTTAGCGCAGCGACTCTCTCAGCCCGCTCGCCTGTCCATGCCTGTCCTTCATGGGGACCTTCAGCTTCGGGTAAAACCCAGGTTGGCAGACGAACTCCGTGCAGAGGTGTCAGAGAAAGGTGCAGCTGAAAGACGGAGTCTACGTTGACTCGTGAGGTCCGGTTGTTGCCAGGCGAGTCTCGGGCCAGCTTTCTTCGGCGAGTGCAGGACGACCTCGCAGCTGCCTGAGAGTTGGAGCAAACGAGTGTCTGGGATTGTCTGGGTCGGGGCCTTGCGTGAGACTTGGGATCCCAGGCCACGCGAGATTCTTCCGATGCAGCTTTGAGCCGTTCGCGCATCCAGAAGCGCCATCAGACCATGCGCCGCAAAGAGCGTGCAGCAAAAGGCGTGCAGGATAACGAAGAGCTGGACTGCTGCGCCCTCAGTCCAGAGCATCTTGTGAACGTGCTCTGTTCATTAATTATATAATATGTTCAACTTTTCAATCTATTGCTGGTGTTCCGCAGGCGAGTCTGAAAGTCCGCCCCCCTCACCTGCACCTCAGCAGACAGAGGGGAGCTTGGAAGACAGCGTGCCAAAGAGGAAGGCGGCTTCGACCTCAGCGCCGCGGCGCCACGCACGTGTAGGGCACGATGGGAGCCTGGACGCTTCAGGCTTCCTCTGTGTCCAAGATTGCCAGCTTGGACTTGGAAGATTTGGAGAAGAAGGCCAGGCAAGTGCCCCGGCGCCCCACACAGCGTGGCTGCACTTAGCGAGCTTGGGAGGCCTTGAGCCGCTTGGGTGGCCTTTTCGCATAGCACAGCGCGTGTTGCGATTGGCTCCGTGAGCCGTGAATCTCCGTGTCACCCACGTTTCACCAAGCGAAGAACGGTCGATCGATTGCCCTCGAGCAGATTCGGAGAAGGACACTGAGTTTTTGTCGAGAGCTCCCGAAGCAACTTGTGCGATGGGCATCCCTCAATCTGCATGCCGCCTTTCCTGGCCGCCGCAGCGTTTCCGCCTTCGCGGTTTGCGATGGCCGGTATGGCTTTGGACATTTTGCCCGCGCCCCTTTGGCGCACTTTGCCAAGACCTTAGATGTGTCTTGGCTTTGTGACCGCCTGGCGGGACATCCGTTCCGAAGGCCTTGCGGCCAGAGCTGGCCGAGCCAGGACATGGCCGGAAGAGTGATGTTTGGTGCAGCAGTGATGTTTGTTGGCCTCCCACGACTCGAGGAGTTGATTTCGCGATCTCGGCAAGAGGATCCAGAGCGGCAATGGAGATCAGCAACATCCGGGCTTTGTCTAGGAGGTGCCGCACTGCTTGGAGCTACATGGCTTGATTGGAGTTTGATGAGCCCCATCTCCGACTAGCCTCGGGCTATCGGGCTATCTTCCGACAGACTGACAGACCAGGCCTCTTGCAAAAGACTACACCGCAGCCGCAACCGCGTTAGTCTTCAGGTTGGTGAGCTGCGGAGAGTGATACTGCGCTGCGTTCCTGTCTGACAAGCATGATATCGAGCAGGTGCGGCGACGGCAGCTTCCAATCTTAGAAGAGAAGCAAGTGATAGCGACAAAGCCGACGACCTATCCTCCAGAAATGTCCCGGGTACCCTCAGCTGCATCACGACTCAGTCTCAAGGCGACTTCCGCTCTGGCAGCTGTCCGACGAAATGTGACCCGCCAGTGCAGAGAGGGCACACCTTTGACGCCTTGAGAAGGCGCTGGACACGCTGGACACAGGTACATGGAGCGACAGCTTGCTCCCGATCCTGAGCTTTCCTGGACCGAGGCAGTTCCGGGAATCCTGAACCATAGAGCTCGCAGAGACCGCTTCATGGAACGCCGCGTGGATGCCTCACATATATATCTTCGAGGTACGCCGGGCTCAAGCACGGATGAAAGAGCAAGTTATTGTGAGAGCCTCGGCTTTGGAATGGATCCGGAGTTTGTGCCGGTAGCGAACTGGCAAGGCCCAGCAGTTCCGAGACTTCAAAAAGATGGAGCGCGAGCTTGGCGGTTTCCGTCTCCAGCCGCCCTTCTGGCAAGCTTCACACTTGAGCTTCTGAACAATGTGCTAGCAACGTGCTCGCCAGGCAGTACCACATAAGCGAGCTTCGTGCTGGTATGTGGGTGGAGGCGGGCAGATTTCGGCAAATGATACTCGCAAAAGTCGAGGGTGCGTGCAGAGTGTCTCTCCGACCAGGGTCGTGTGTCGGCGACGCACGACAAGGGAGTGATGGTAGACGTGGGTGCGTACACTGAAAGCGGGGAATGGGTTGACGGCTTCCTGCACATGGGCCAGATCAAGGATGACGGAGGCTACATTCGCCAGGCATCCCGAATGGAGCGAGCAAACGGTTAATGAAGGAGAGCTTGTCAGGGTGTGACTTGGCCAGGACAAGATCATGGATTTCGTGCACTTGGGGGAAAACGTCCGAGTCAGAGTGGTGGAATGTGTGCCAGCTACGGGCCTTCTGAGATTATCGATGCGGATTGAGGAGGACTGGAGCTTGAAGCGTGGGTAGTAAGCATGTTGCACTCTGTGCAAGCAGGATGCTGAGTCTTGGATCGGTCATGTTTGTGCAATGTGCACAGAGCAGCGCTTCAGGATTTGCCTGAACTATTCCTGGGCAAGCCTAGACCCTACAGCATCCATGATATCGAAGAAGGGATGAAGGCTGCACGGGGCTACAATCACTAGGCACAGGTGCTTGGAAGCCTTGGCTTTGAGCAGGTGACTGGCATTGTTCGAAGAGTTTGGGACAAATGGGCACTTGTGGATATTGGCTGCGACTGCTTGGCCCGGCTCCACGTACGAGAGCATCCACGAGAGAGAAACGAGTCGGGATCTTAAACCTCTGAGTTGCTCCGCGCTTTTTTCCCATAAGCAAATATTGGGCTCCAGGTACGGTTTCTACAAGTGGGACCGGCTGCACAAGTATGCCTGGAGTGCTTTCACCCGCGGCGCTCAGCTTGATCTTTGGGTCGAGAAGGCAGTGGGTTTTGGTTAGGCTGAAAGCAGAGGCTGAGATCCTTTGTGCATAGTGGTGCAGCTTCTCTGCCAGATCAAATATCAGCGTCAGATCACCTTGGTGGGCAACCGACCACCGTCTGTTAAAATGGCTGACAAGGCTTGGCAGTGCAGTGCCGTACTTGCACTCAATCAGAAGTCCAGAGTGCCGAAGCCAGGTGCGAGCAGCTCGCATGACTGGTGCAAACTTCGTCAAAGGTCTTGACAAGAAAGAAGAGCGCCCGTGACTTGGGAGCTCTTCAAGCTGGGTTTCTGTGCCCTCATAGGAGTTTTCCTTCCATACTTCCGCAAGGTATGACGTTGGAGCAGCAGCGGGACCGGGAAAAGTCGGAGGCCGAGAAAGCCTGGGCCTTAGCGTTTGTGCACGGACTGGCACAGATAAGGTGGAACATAAGTCATAAGGCATGCTAGTATGCGAGTGAAGCGTGAACGCTGCGGTCGCCAGGCACACTGGAGCCCCTACGTGCCACATGTGGATGAATGGCTGGAAGAAGCGGCCGAGCCAGATGAAGAAACTGACAGCTGGGTTGCAAGGACTGTCGTCCATGCTGTTTCCTATTGCCCTCGTCCACGAACGAGCAGCAACGAAGGACAGAGCGCGAGATCTTCGAAGAGTTCAGGGAAGAGAACGGAGAATCCTCTACGCAGGACTTGCTCAGACAACATCTGTTCGTTTGTGACTGCAGCTGATAAACCGCAGGAGGCAGGCATTGATTTGGCGTCCAACTTTTTGGATGAGGACGGAGCAGAAAGCAAATTCACCAGGTTGAACAGCGGTTCATTCGAAAGCTGGATCACCAACTCAGGAGTTCGACGAGGCAGATGACTTCGGCGAAGATGAGTTTGCAGAAGACGACTTCGTGGACGAGTCCAACTATGTAGCGGATGATGTGCCCTTGAGCTTCGGAGCTCCAGGATTCGAGGCCGGTGATTTCTTCACGGCAGTCGAGAGACTAGACTGTAAAAATGGAGGACGATGCTTGGGAGCTCAACGATGGCCCCGAGCCCTCGCAAGATGACAGCCTGCTTTACTGATCTGCTGAGTAGCCTGGCCTGTGCTCCACGAAAGATCCAGTGCCTGTGTCGTCCGTCCTGCAGCCACACTACATGCAGTACATGTGCTCGACCTGTTGCTTCTTCACATGTCTTCACACTTGTTTTGATGGTCCATCGGTCCATCTGGCTCGCTGCAGCAATAAGACGCGGGTTCTGCCTTGCTCCGGCGCAGCTTGAGCCAATGAGACTGGTGATCTCAGCTCTTACTCCGAAGGTGTGCTGGCAAGTGCAACAATAGTAACAGTCCATTCGGTCATTGTGTGATTGGTCCGCGCTTGTAGCCATGGACAGATTCGATACTTCCAAAGACCCCCGCTTCAAGCGTGCTCCTCGACATGTCCGGCGTGTTCAAGTGGATGGGCGGTTTGCCCGTATGTTCAAGGACAAGCAGTTCGTCGAAACTCCCCGCGTGGATGCTCGAGGTCAACGGCTGAGCCGCAAAGCCGGGAGGCAAAAACTCCAGGAGTTCTACGACCTTGCGGGCCTTGATTCAGAGAAACGAAGCGCAGCAGAGGAGCCCAACACACCCAATCTGGAAGATGCAGAAGAGCAGGAGGAAGAGTCAGCTGTGGAGGCTGGCGCAGCGCCGCAACATGTTTGCATGCCCATGATACTTCGCCCGGGGTTTGCCTGAGTCTCTGATGCTCTTTGCTCGAAGGACGAGGAAGACGATTCGGAAGAAGCTGATGAGGATCATCAAAGCTCGTCAGCCTGGAAGGTGACACAGGAAGATGTGCCGAAAGGAGATGCTACGCGACGGCTCGCTGTCATGGGTTGCGACTGGGATCATGTTGCGGCAGGCGATCTGATGGTGCACTGGCCACGTTTTGCAGCCTTGATGTGTCGACGGGCCGACGGGGTAAGTTGTAAACGCGCGGAGTCACTGCCAGGTCATGTTCCGGACATATCTCAGCACTGCGCGGTCCAAGAGCCAAGCTGGCAATGCAACTTGACTGCAGATACAGAGTTGGTTGCACATGTTTTCTGCGAAAGCCGCAAGGACAGCTTGGGGTTTCTGAAGCAGTGCAAAGCGTCCAAGTAACCCTGTGCAGACATCTGTGCGTGCTAGTGCCACCCATAAATTCTGCTGCTCATCTTGCTCTGTTTCGTGTTGTGGCACGACCTTCGCGCATGCTTTGCACCTTTGCCATGACAAAGCTGGAGACATTCGCTCACATCTAGCATCCGATGGCCATGCGGTGAGAAGAATTCATCGTAAGTCAAAGCGAACAATCACGGGCACTTCCCGCAGACCAGTCCCGAACATATTGGCCATGATCGCAAGAGGTTAGGACGGTTAGGCGCTGCATGCAGCCACTGGAAGAGTTTCCAAAAATCATACCAAAGTACAGCTGTTCAGGTCAGGATGTTTTGCACAAAAACTGGACCAACCCTGCAGGAGTGCTGGTCACTTGATTTTGACTCGCCACCACACGCCCGTCCAATCCATCCTGACCCGAAGGTAACAAGAATCAGCGTGTACCCATCAGACTACGGTCTTCAGCGAGCTGAGCGCGAGGCAAGGCTCGCACGTGTGGAACTTTTCTTCAACTTTAGTCTGTGCACAAGTCGAATGGAGAAGGCTGTCGAAGGGCCATTAATCGCAGATGAGATGCCGAACTCATCCTTTGACGACGACAACCAAGAGGCGCAACAAGAAGCACTCAGCGACCCTGGCCTGTTTGAAAGCTGTGCAAATGAAATTGCATGTCAAAGAACCACTTGCGCGCGATTGTGATAGCACTGGCACCCGTTAGAACGGCTACCCACCAGGGCGGTACCAGATGGACCGCACGAAGTACTTTTGGGCCTTGGTTGAGTGCGACTCTGAGTCAACCGCTGCATGGCTGTACGATGAAATGGACGGAATCGAAGCAGATGGCCGCGGCCTCGAAGTGGAGCGGAGAATGAAAAGTTCTGTCATGTTTTGGCGCTTTCAGCTACTTTGGAGTTAATGAGGCATTTGTCCGGCTACGTTGGACTTGCGCTTCGTGCCCGAGGAGCTGGTGCCTCCACACGAAGCGACCAGTGTCGCAACTGAAATTCCCAAGAAGTTTTCCGGACCGGCAATGCTTCGGTCTGCCACCAGACACACGAAGGTGAAGTGCACCTGGGATGAGGCGCCCCCTCAGCGACGCAAAGATCTAATGAAGAAGAGGTTTTCTGCAGCTGAGCTTGCCGACATGGACCTGCGTGACTATTTGGCTTCCAGTTCCGACGAATCTGAGACCAAAGGCGCAGCACAGGAACTGAAGGCATTGATTGCCAACAGTGATTCCGAGGGTGGTGCTGGCGGGAGCAACTCAGAGACTGAGAGCAAGCCCAGCACTGCAGGAAACATGGAAGCGACCTTCAGTGTGAAGGCCACCAGGCTCGAGGAAGAGCTGGCGGAGCGCGCGCAGAAGCAAGGTGGGCGAGGAGTTCACACCCTGGAGTCGGAGCAGCCCCAAAGTGCTTGGCAAAAATACTTGGAGAAGCGGAAGGAAAAGAGAAGAGAGAAGAGACTCAAGGTAAAGGAGGAGAGGGCTAAGCTCAAAGAGACCATCGCGCAAGAAACTGGCAAGGCTACCAAGAAAGGACAGCCTTCTGTGGACGAGTCCAGAGAGTCAGGAGACCTTGAGCTGCTTCTGGAACCGGAGATGGAGCGAAGCGAGCGCAGCCGAAGCTTTAATCTCAGAGGTCCACAGAGGCAAGCTCATGACCACGGTCTGAAGGACGCTGGAGGGGCTTTTCAGATGGATGTCCACGATCGTCGCCTTGAGAAGGTCTTGAGCAGCGCCGACTTCGAGATTGATCCAACCAATCCCGAGTTCCGGAAGTCCGAAGGAATGTCTGCGCTGCTCCAGGAGAAGCGAAAGCGCAAAAGCGCCAAAAGCACAAAGGCGCCTCTGAAGCAGACGGAATCCAAGGCTTCCAAGGAGCCTCCCTCAGAGTCCATGGAGTCGATGGCCTCGGGAAGCTTGCAGATCTTTGCCCAGACTAAGAGGGCTGCCGCTTTCAACCAGGCCGAAGTCGCCCCGAATGCTGGGCTGCAGCGCAAGAAGCCACGGAGGAAGAAAGCCAAATTGTGAAAAAGATGGACGCGTCTTCCTCTCCATCAGAATCTGCACAGATACAGCTCCAGCATACATGGGAGTTAGGAGTCGTGTTAGCCTGTCTCTTTTCTCGTCGCTGATTGGCTCAAGTCAAGGGATATTTGGAGGAGATGTCTTGCCAGGACCGCACATGATTATGGGGTGGACAGTCTTGCAAACGCTTGCAAAAAGGCTGAAATTATTTTGCATCCGTACAAAAGCAGCGCAGCCGTTTCTGATGGAGAAGAAGGGCATTGACTTGGTTGATCAGGAGGTACTTGCTCTGGCAGGAGCATTCGGCACCTCGAAGATCACCCCAACTGCAGAGGGCGTTACGGTTGATTTTTCGAGGCTCTGCAATGCAGGAAAGCCTTGGAGCTAGAGCTGCTCCCGGCGGCTCGGCGCGGCCAGGGCCAGCAAACTTGAGTCCACAAATGTGCGGCTTGTGTCGCCAATGTTGCGATTTTGTTGCACATGCTTGCACTTGCAAGTGCGCCTCCTGACATAAGCTGGGCCAGCTAGGCCTGTCCAACGGCAAGGAAAAAGGGAGGCAGCAGTGGCCATTGCAATTGCTGTGCGGCCATACACGAAGTAACCTGGGCCTGTGTAGAGCTGGAGGGCATGCACTGAGCCATGAGCAGACCCTTTGGCTCCGGCTCGAGAGTAGTTTCAGGTGCAAAGTGTTTGCCCGATTTCCCGCCATGGGTGCTTGTTGACAGCCAGAACCAGCGAGGTTCACGTTGGCCTACATGGAGAGAGAGCACTTGCCACTTTGCGACCTCGGATTCGGACCACTTGCATGCTTCGTCACCCTGAAACCGCTGTCGACCTGTCATGTTTTCGCGCATCTGAGCGAACATGAACAGCCGTTGGACTCTATGGCATTTGAAAACTCAGATGAAACGAGAGGCAATGTGCAAGAGATTCAAATCCAGGATCATCAGAAGGCGACACAGCCGGATGCTTCGCAGAAAACGAAGCAGAAGCAACATCAATACCAGCTTTCTGACAATGACTCCCCATCGCTGCAAAGCTTCAGCAGTGGCGGTAGCAGCCCAAGTTCTGTGAGACCCAGGCATCCCAGACCGCGTACACCGCGTCAAGGTGTGCCAGTGCGGCACCTTACTGGAGAAATGGCGATCCGAGGCCAGTTGAAAGATACAAGCAAGACATCGATACTCCGCGACAATTCTTCATGGAAGCATGAGTTGGGGCATCCACCGCATCATCCGCATCCCCACGTGACGGGGAACGAAGAGACGGATCGGCAGCTCCTGCTTGATGCCTGGAAGTCATGCCGATTGATAGAGGCCACACGTGCTCTTTGGATCTAGTGTTTCTAGCCTCGATGCACTTCTTACGTTATCCGATATCGCTTGAGAAGCTTAGACAGTTGGAGGTCTCAAGTTTGGGAATTATAGCATCGCCCAGTAAGATTCGAAAAGGCCGCAGCACAGCTAAGCTCCAAGAATGTAAGGCGGCACAGCAAACCTCAGGCAGACACAGTTTGTCCCAACATGCCAGTTTGTGACTTACTATGCCACCGTGGCCTAGCTTGTGCTCGCTTCGTGAAGGATATTGAAGATTATTGTCTTGAGTTAGTCCGAAAGCCGTCGTAAGAGGATCATCAATGCCGCGCTTGTGACGTCTTGCCTTCAGTGAACTTCAGTGTCCTTCCGACTTTTCGCATGGGTTCAACATGGCCAACCCATCGATACGAAACCCGAAACCAGCGGTTCGGCACCCTCGTGCACATGCATGGCGCTTCCGGCTGGAGCTTGAACTCGGAAAGGGCTTTAGAGGCCTCGAGGCTCCGCAAGGCACGTGAAATCGAATCGACTTTGGCGAGGGGGGAGGGGTACTGTGACTATGACATTAACGTCTGACCTTCCTTACCATCGTGGCATCCGACGCACCCCAGAAACGGGTGCAGATGCTGGACTGCGAGAAGTGGAGATGCAGGTTTGTCGGTTTCGTCTGTCTCCACTTAGCTGTCTTGCTCAGGCCCCACCAAGACATCCCAAAGGTTGACCTAGTGCTCTTGATGAGTTCATGCTTGAAATCTGATAACCGCCATTCTCAGTCGGTAGAGTGTTGGGAGGATGAATCTGAGCAAGTCTTCGCAGGCCAGCCGTTTGGTGCAGAAGTCCCGCTCCTCGAAGAGGCATTTTCATGAGATCCTGGACGAAACATCGCTTGAAGTCATTCATCGGGTTGAGACCAACTACACTCAAGAGCCTTGGCTTGCAAAGAGCAATGCCCAATCGGAAGCATTCCAAGTGCGGCACTCAAAACTATGCCTATCCGTGCCTTCATCGACAAAATGAGCAGCACACGAGCATTGGTTTCCCGGAGCAGGACCTTTGCAGTCACCAAGTCCGGAGCAAGCAGATCAAAAAATATGCACCAGAAAGGATATGGTAGGCAGTGACTATGCCGATGCCGATAGAGAAGCTTGTTCAGTCTGTTTTCTGACAAGACGATGTCGCACCTTCGTGTTTCTGTGAGAAGCTGGTATCCAGTGCTGCGGTCGTTCGACACAGTTTGCTTGGTGTGTGAGCTCATCGGGCGTGTCGTCGTTGTGCTCGATGCTGTGCTGAGTCTTTGGACGAGCTTATGCAACATCCTGGTAGCGGCTGGAGGAAGGACACGCACAGGGCAGACAGTCCACCTGGCCAGCCAACTAATCAGCACTTAATTAGCCACTCGAAGCTTCCATTGCGGCGACGCCGTATTGCTCTTGATCGAGGTAGGGCAGAACTAACGGCTTCAGCAGCTTATGATTTGCAGGAGCGCGACGAGAAGCGTGATCTGGACATGGCCTTCAGGTTGACACATGACAACTTGCAAGCTGTGGCCACGACTGTCTTCAGCGGCTTCAGCCTCATCCAAATTTTCGATGCATTACGTGATTATGTTCAACAAGATGAGTACAATGACGACACATATGTCGGTCAGTCTCGACCTTGGTTGCCTCCCCCTGCCCGAGTCCCTGGCCTCTTGTGGGTTGCACTGAAGGCTGGACAACGAGCTGATGCAGGACTCCCTGCTCCACGTTCGACGACATGGACATGGCGATGTTGAAGACAACATTCTCCACTTCAGCTGCACGGATGCTTTGGACGAACCACTCGGCGCCCTGTGGCGCGGCTGTCCAAAACATCTTGGGGCTCAAGTCATTGCATTTGTATTGAAACTGCCTGTTGACAGGCTGTCCAGCTACACTCCGCCGTTGAAGAGGGGACGGCATGCCCGTAGCTTCCGGGGCATTGCTTTACCCAAGCCACAGACAGGCATCGAGGGACACGGGATGGAGATCCTTTGTAAACAATTTTCGCCTCTCATTGCTGCCTTGAGGTGCCGTGCGCCTGGCATTTTGGCGCAGCTCCTTTGCGATTGCTCCGGTCTGGAGTGGCGTTGCCGCCACTGCACCCAGTGCCGTCAGGGTCACCTACGCAGTTGCCAGACGACCATCATCCGCTGCCTCAATATTCCCAAGCAGAATGTACCGTGAGGCCTGTCCTCATTACATACTTGGACACAGCGGGAGTGCTGCCCACGTCGATCGGACAGGTTTCCAACAGGCTCGCCAAGTTCAAGGATTACCTGCACATTCGGGAAAAGAGCGCGGGCACAGTCGTGGACTGTGACGTATACAATCACATCGAGAGGCGCTGAGCATCGGCATGTGCGATGGCATGCCATGCGCGTGGCAGCACGAATTCTTGTAGCTTTGAAGCCTTGCTACAGTACGTCTTGCTGTTGTTGCTCTGCTGTGGGCCTTGGCCTCCCTGGCACGTTCTTTGCGGAGCATCCGTGCAGGCACCTCCTGGAGTGTGCGCCTCACGCCTCCCGCAATGACGAAGTTTCCTTCGAGGACGGCTCGTGGTCGGGTTCACTGTGATTCACACGTGCAGCCTGCCACTGCGCTGCTGTTGTTGTTGCTGCTGCCCATGCTGTTGTGCTTCTCATTAGAGAGGCGAATGCTTTAGACTAGACGAAGTGACAAGTTTAGCTGTCTAAGCAGCTAGAATCAGAATACAGCTGGAAATTGCTGCGATCCCTGCACGGCCCCTCAGCTAGAACTCCTGTGCAGGCCACCGGGGGACTTGTCTAGGGAAAGGTCATCATTGTCATCATCGTATGTAGCTATTATCAAGCATTCCCTATACGGCCACTAAGAAAGTTTGATCTTCTAGTCATGGTAGCAACTGTCAGATTATCAAAGTGCTGGCAACATTTGCGTGGTGAGTGGCGTAGGTGCCCTGAGTATCATTGGCATGTGTTATCCTGTCGGTCTGATTATTTCTACCGGTGTTGTCGACTTTACAGACACCATTCTTGTTTTGGTTGCTAGTTACAGAAAGGCTAAACCACAGTCGATAACGCTAGAAACAATGTATGATTTTTCAGTAGCCGTAATCTCTATCGTGGCTCCAAGTGACATTCTTCTCAGCCTTACTAATCTTTACGAGATGGTGCAGTCTTGTGTGCCTCAATGATCAAACCCACCGCTTACCTGGCCTTGTGTTAAGGGGTTCAGGTTTTACCACCTCACTGTCTTCGTGTCGGAGGGTTGTTAACCCCGAGCCATGTTGGATTCCATGTTTGGCTTGCCCTGCAAAAGACATCATGCTGGGTGTGTCAGGTGCCAGAGTGATGACAGCTAACTGAGGATGATAGCGGCAAGTGCCACTATTGCGGTTCTTGTCCTTCCTGCTTCTTCCGCTGCTGCTGCTGCTGCTGCTGCTGCTGCTGCTGCTGCTGCGGCTTCTGTGTCGTTGCCTCCCACTGCCGGTGGAATCGTCGTCGTGGTTGTTGCGGGTGGTGCTGTTGCTGGTGTTAGTCTTGGTATTCATGTTGTTGCCGCTGCTGCTGCTGCTGCTGCTGCTGGTGTTGCTGTTGCTGTTGGCGGTGGTGGTCGTTGTCGTCCTCTTCCTCGCGCTCCCTCGTGCTCGTTTTCGTCCTCGTCTTCGTCTCAATCGTCATCATCGTGGTCCCTCTCTCATCGCCTCATCGTCTGCGTTTTGCTGCAAGTGGTAGTTGTTTTCGTGGAAGTATGATCGTCGCTGGCGTTTGCTTGGCCCATGCTGGTAGCAGTGGCGGTCTGCAAGGAGCTCGCCTCCATTCTACCTGATGACTGGGCAGATTACCATGATGCCGAGCATGTTAATGACTTTCGCTAACGCCAGCAGTCAGAAACATGTGACCGCTGGACAATCTCAAGTTTCAATCGCAGCACTTCCGCGTGCTTGCAGACTTTATGTCAATGCATTGTTCCTGCTTCTGGAAGCTTGATCTTGTCAGCCCATGTCGGCCCTCGCGAGAAAAAGCAGAGAAGCTTCCATCCACTGGCGCATGTCATAATCCCCTTGACGTAGCAGTTTGCTGCCGAATCAGACACAACAAGCTCAACCATCGCATGATGCAGCTCAGAAGCCAGGCGCATGATAGCAACTCGCGGGAGCAAGGATGTGACTTAACAGTGAAAGGGAGCACTGCTAAGTGAACATTCCTTCACATGATGGCCCTAGTCCTAGCAATTGGTCTGTCTCTGGATTGGCACGGCGTATGAGGTGAAATGCCAAGGGTGGAATGCCTATCATGCTGCATCAGCGAGCATTGCCCCATATCAGGTTATTGAAAAAAGTGGGAGACTTGCTGGACACAGCCGATGAAAAAACTACAGAGGCGAATCTGGATACATTGACGAGGCCGCACCCAGCACATGAAAGGAATGACGCATTGGCACGTAATGCTCGAGGCACGTGGGAGATGCCTTCGGCGGCAACTCCAACGAGGCCATTTGAGCAAGCAAGAGAGACCTATGCAGTGAGCAACATTGTCTCAAAGACCCGTGATGAGTTTTCGCTTTACATGCGAGTCGTTGACAAGATTGATTGCGCACCAGGGTACACCAGATACAGATATCATGCTGCAATCCTCGCTTGTTGAAGGCTGTGTTGTTTGCTGGTCAGTTGTGCTTTTGGTGCATAATGATGCATACCTCGCAGATCCTGGCAGGCAAGTGGAATCAAGCTGGACTTGGGCATCGTCGAGGCCGTAATATTTAATATGCTCTTCGCGGGCAAACACATCGCTCTTTGTTTCATGTGACGCTGTTGCTGTCGATACTGAATATGGCAACAGGCTTTACGGGTTTAAAGTTTAAGGTTTAGGCCCGAGGCTTTCTATTCGGATTGTATGAAGGTTCAGCATAGGTTCCCAATAGGATTCAATAGAAAGCCCCTACATCACAAGCATTCTGAGGACTAGGAATCGCTTGCTTACTCCATTCGTCCGCTTTCAAAAGAGATTGCCGACACAAGCATAGGTACCAATTGGCTCTGTGTACAAGGATCACCACCAAACTCTCCCAACAAATTCCATCCGTGTTTGACTAGCCCTCTGCATCTTTTGCTGTGTCTACGCATCTTTTGAGAACACAGCTTCATTTGCCAGAATGTGCAGTGCTGGCATTGACTTCTGCTACCTTCGACATCGTTGGACCAAAGTCGTCTACAAAATGAAAGCCCATCGTGACAACTAGCATAGGGCATCTCGCTTGCTGCACAGACACCGGCAGATAGCTTCCCGCTGGAGAAATAGTCCCAAGGGGTTGCTGCTGTCGGCAGACCGCTTGCAGCACACGTTTCTTTGCAGTTTCAGCATGCATGTTCTAAGGCGTTCTCGAACTAGCACAGTATCTTCAGTGGTGGAGTTGACAGCTGCCATGCTGTGCAGGGCCTGGCCGACCTCAAAAACCAGATCGGCACCGACTTGAAGGCGCCGAGACAGCTCTCTGCTCGAGATAAAGTTTCCAAAGCAATGCTGGCTGCAGTCTTCGATATGTTCCGACAAGTCGTGTCGCAGGGCCTGGGGGTGCAGTGCGACAGAGGCTAAATGCCCAAATTCGAGTTTTCTCAAGTCTCTGCGTGCCGGGAGCAGACTGGGCCCGCAGGCAGTGAGTCGGACGCTGGCGTGAGGCCAGAGGGCGGGACCAGGAGCAGAAGAAGAGCTGACCTTGCAGACCAGGGCACGCATGCCTGCGAGGGGTGTAGGGATTCCTTTGCCTGTTTGGCTGTGCCGAAGAAGAGCGAGAGAAGATGTTGCAGTGGCTCCTTTCCTAAGTCTCTATTCACAGCCCCTGGGACAAAGACCTAGGATGGAACCAAAACCTGCCAAGACCAGCTGGTGCGCGCTCGCGCGCGGTGCCCGCTCTGCCGTAGTGCTATATCCCAAGGATGAGGCCGGGGTTTGTAGGACCATACAGTTTTCACGGACAGACCTTGAGGCCAGTGTGCGTGTGCACGCGGAGTGAGTGGGGACGTGGAAAGAGAGAGAGAGGAAGAAAGTAGGGGGGGAGGGGTTGACGCCTCTTAAGGGAGAAAGTAAAAAGCTATGTCAATGTGTTCCCAGCAACAATCTTTTCATCCCCGACTCCTGGAGAGCTCCGTCTACGGTTTGGAGGTTCAGGCTGTAGGTGTGGAGGTATCCACAGCCAGATGCCAAGGAGACCCGATTCTTGAGGGTTTTCGGGTCTGGGGCTCAGGGTTAAGAAAAAAGGAGCTGGGAGTCAGGCCGGGTGAGTGAAGACGGCCCCGCAGTCTGGCATGGCTCTTGGGCTTAGCATGTCTGAGCCGTGTGTGGCTGCGAGGTTGGCAGCCTTGAAGGAGCGAGTCGAGGAGTTGCACGCCAAGGAGGAGTGCGCTCACGTGATGGGTTCACTGGGTTCACAGTTACACTGTTCACCGCTTCGTCACCTGCGAGGCCGAGAGAGCAGAGCAACGCAGTCGACTGCAGACACAGCTGCTCGAGGCGAACGTGTGCGTTTCGGATCTTGGTTCGAATTTCTCCTCGGTGCAGCATGCAAAGTTTGTCGTCGCAAGACTGCCCAAGTAATTGAGCCACCCCCAGCCCTTTGGCAGGTAGAGTCTGCCATCAACGAGAAGAGCTGCGTAGCGGAGGTCGGAGTTTTCTTCGATGCGCGGAATACCAGTCCAACCAGTCCAGCGGTGGCAGCTGAGAGTGCAAGCAGGCGTCCACCACGCGACAACCTGTGCAGGATTCCCGGTTGGAGGCGAAGTTCCCTGCAAGATTCTCGTCACCCTGTGGTCCTCTGATTGCAGGAGCTGCGACGTGAATTTCACGAGCGTGAGGCATCTTTGGCCTTCAGGGCTCCTGCCCAAAGCTGTTCTCGTGGGCCCAAGAGAGAACCTCTTGTTACTCTTCGACAGCGGCATGAACACTTGAGTGTGCATGGTAGCAATGTGCTTGCCAGCGAGGCGCAGGCTTTGCAGCGAGCGGGGTCTCTTGCGGCGACCACCACGCAGGCGCAACACTGCAGCAATGCCGTTGCAAGGATGACAGACTTTCTGTCAGATCGCAGCCAACAATGATCACCTGTCACAGCAGCTCGACTTCTGGAAAGAGAAGGCGAGATGTCGCAAAATCAGCGAGCAGTCGAGCATAGCGGAGAGAAAGGCTGGCCAGCTCTTGGCTTCTCTTGGCTTGGAGACTGTGCCGGAGGAGCCTCAACCCGCCTCAAAGGCTCTCGCATGCTCTCACATGCTCTCTCTCGCTCGCAGGAAGTGGAGCACGCTGCTCAGCTGGAAGAAGGCCGTGAACAGAGTGAAGCAGCTGACCAGGCCGCCATGGGGCTTGAGCTACGGGTGCAGGCACTCATTTGTCTTGACGTGGCGTGGAGGTGAAATCAACCCCGGCAGCTAGCACGCCAGATGCTGGCGTTGTGAAGGCATGGGTCTGAGTTTTGGTGACTATTGTCATCATGGTCACCAGCGCTGCAGCATGCAGGGATGACGTTAGCAAGCCTTCAGCCCGTGTCAACCAGGAGCATGCGGATGAGCAATGCGCAGTGCAGGCAAAGATCAGCTGCAAACTGTTGTTTCGGCATGGTTGCCGGTATACTTCGAGTGGACTCGAGTAGACCTGTTCTTCGTGTTCTGCTACCGTTTGAATGTCGCGGGGTTCACAGGACTTGGAAGCCATGCTGGCAGAGTTGATGCGGAGATCTGAAGAGATAATGGGCCGCGTTGAGCAGCAGCGGCACCAAGAACGGGCTTTGCCGGCACGGTTGCGGTTTGGACAAGTTCGCACAGCTTCTTGCATGTTTGTTTGCAGGATTTGCTTTTGCAGCTCGGCAACGCACAGGACAGCCCCACGACAGCGGCTTTGTGTGGTAAAGAAACAGCTTTTGTCTCTTGCGATGCCTCGAGCCTCGATGAGCTTCAGCGACAGCTTGTTGTCTTCAATGGCAGCCACAGTTACCATGCTACCAGGACACGGCAGCCAAGGAAGCCAATGCAGTTTCGGAGTTCCAGACCCAGCTGGAGACGCTGCGACAGACAAAGGCGGAGTTGCTCTTGAAGATCGCGGTGGGCGCAATTTGGTGCAATCCCCTGTCTTTGGAGCAAGAGGCACGCTCACAACGAGCGCTGGGCTTATGAAGACATGTGCCAACAGCATAATCTGCGGCATGCTGCGCACTGGACTCGCCGACTGCAAGCTAGATGATGCAGTCAGCTTTGCAAGTTGAAGCGCCCCTGTAGCACTCCCCCGTCAGACTCCATGGTTAGCAAAGACCTAGAATCGCAAACACTTTTCTGCTGCGTGTTTTTCCTGAAGCTCAGAGTCAGGTGAGTGCGAAAGCGGCTGCCGCACCGGCTAGGATGGATGAAGTCATGCAGCTGCGAGCTGAGGCAACTCATGATGATCAATACATATCAATACAAGTCGGCCCGATTGAAAGATCCTGAAAGGTCCTCAGTACCCTTCAGCACTGTTTTGAATTTTTGCAGGTGGAGACTCTGCGTGCATGCCTTGAGTCCAGTACAAAAGAGCGCTGGAGGCTTGAGGCACGTGGCGCGTGGCACCTCTGAGTCGCCTCTAAGAGACTTTGCGCTTGGCTTTTGCTCCGCAGGCGCAGCTGGGAAAGCATCGCGCGGCGGCGGCGGCCGACCTGGAGCGAGCAGTGAGCAGCTCTGAGCAGGTGGATGTGGAGGGAGCAAGGCACTCATAGCTGTGCAGGTACCGTCGTCGACCACAACATGCTGGACCTGGCTGGATGTTCCACTCATGAGGAGATTTGCTGATGTTTAGCAGTGTGCAAGTTGCAACAAAGCACTGGGTCTTCGCTTCACGTTGACTTGTTGCGAGTGTGGTCGAAGGCTCGTAACGCTGCTGGTGAAGTCGACGTGCTTGCGAAGATCCTTTGCGTTGCACTTGTTGGCCACGTGCGCCAGATCCACCGTCCAGCCGCTTTGAGCAACCGCGTAGCAACTCTAGTGCTCACATGCTGGCTTTGAGGAGGCTTGCTGCCCAGAAGAGTGTAACGAGTGTCGCTAGGCATATGTCGCCCTTGGCTACTTACGGGCCAGATGTTTCAAGGTTTCGTTGGAAGGCACCTCTCTCGGCTCAAGGCACAGGGGGGTGCGCAACTGTGCACACATCATGGCAAGGCTTCGCACTCATCATCCCAGAAGTGGTGCTGTGAATTTGCTGCTACCGGGATGTGACTCTCCGCCCAGCTCTTGCAACTCGCAATCCGGGATGCCCTTGACCGCGACGGCACCACCCCCGCCGCCGCACCACCACCCACCACCCCACCGCCACCCCAGTAGATAGGCAGGCAGGCAGTGAGGCAGGTAAGTAGGTAGGTAGGCCCGCCCGGCCCCGCCCCACCCCACCCCACGTCTGCATTTGCCAGCCGTTGTGAAGAACCCGATCCTTAGCGCGAATGTCGCGGCTGGTTTCGGCGAAGCCCATGACCTGTCTTTGAAGTACCGGGCAACTTAAGAAGCGTTTACAACGACCATTGGTTGCCACTTGTGTCTTTCCGTCTCACGCGGTAGTTTGCGTACTCGGCCACCCATGTCCTCCCGGCCCGTTCCCGCACGCAAGAACGGGCTCGCACAGACACGAGCCCCTTGCAATCATCTGCCCAACCAACGATCCACCCATCACTCCTTCCTTTCCTCCATTCCGTCCTGCCTCCTCCCAAGTCGCAGAGGCACAGTCGGATGGACAGCACTGATAGTTTCCGCTTCTGCCAAGGGAAGGCACGCTTGCCGTTCGGAGCGGCAACGCTGCCAGAAGGTTCAAGGCAAAACCTGCAAATGCGGTGATGTAAAAGAATCAAGCGGGTTCGTCATCTTTGTACTTGCAGGCATCTCTAGCCGGAAGCCGAAACACAGATTTCCTCAAGCTGGTGGAAAGGACGGAGGTGGGAAGCTCCGTGAACTACGACTCCCGTTCATGTTGTCAGAGATGCGACATGGACCTGTGCAAGGGTGCTTTCCAGTCTGGTGATGACACCGCTGTGGAGGACACCACTCCATACCACTGGCATGCATGTACGCTTGCAGTTCGTGACCTTCTTGCTACGAGTGCTTGAAGCTCCTGGGCATGGTTTACTTTTCCAGGTGCTTGTTCTTTGCTCCAGGAAGTTCGACGAATCCTGGCAGACGTCCGGACTCAGTACGACCAGGTTCACGTCGAAGCTGAACGTCGGGAGGCCAGTACATCTTGGGCCGTGGCATCAAGGCTCGCGAGAGAAGCGCGCAGGCTGAGATCGCCATGCTTCGTGAGCAGATCCGGGCTGCAGATCGAAATCACGGCTACGGGAACGACGAGTCATCCAAGAAGGAGGAGAGAGCGTTGCAGCAAAGAACACCCTCCGACACTCTGGCCACTACATAAACGTCGTGCAGGACTCGTATCAATCGGTCTTCAAGCAATATATTGACATCGTCGGCGTCAAGGGTAGAGGAGGAGTGCAACACTCGGTCTTCCGTAGAGTTTGGCGAACAGAAAACATGGAGTTCTGATTTCTGAGGCGATAGATGAGGCAAAGACCACGAAGAAGGTGTACGATCACATGTGTGAAAGGTGCCTGCTTGGTAGTCGCGACCGTCATCCTGCACGTAGCTCCGCCTGGGAGGATCACCAGGGAGCAGTCTTTGCTGAAAGAAAAGCTTGTCCTCATGGAGGATGGCGAAACATGGAGTCATGTTGTGGAATGTTGTGCACCCCTGTGCCATCCATGCACGGACAGGCGCATTTGCAAAGAAAGACCGCCGAGTCCCGGAGAAAGGCTCTGGCTCTACCCATGATTTGGTCGGCTTGTGTGTGTGTGTGTTTACATCATGTGGACACAGCTTGGTGCAGGTCGCTGTCCAGGAGCGACTTGTTCGAAAAGGGGCCCAGTGTTCCCAGGACCTGTGCTCATTGGGCTTATCGATGGCAATTGTTAACTATGTTAGTTTTCTGTGTGTCCCTTTCGAGGACCTGGACATTCTGGAACAAGACGTCGAGCACGAGCGAGTGGTGCGTTGTTGACTCGAACCATCTAGCCATATCTAGCGTCTAGCCTCCGGTGCAGTCTGCGCCATGCCCGCAACCACGCCGTGCGTTGGAGAGGTACGTCATGAAGCTTTAGCAAAGATGAGTTCCTGTTTACAGGCTTTCTGTTGATGTTGGTCATGCTTAAATGATCATGCAAGCGGTAAATAGAGTGAAAACTGCAAGCTTAAAGCGGCTGCAGGCGAAAATCCAAGCAAAGGAAGACCGGGCAAGGTTTGAGCGATGGCGTCATACGGTCGGACTTCGAGAGCTCTAAAGCATCCTCAGTCGTCAGCCACTTCGAGTTTGTCCATGTCCACAGATCGCGCTCGATGCGGCCAATGAAGCCTTCAATGCCTCTGCTGGCCGTCTTCGTAAGCTTTATGCGGCGTTGCTGGCACATTGGAGATCCTCAACCTGGGGCCCTCGGCACACGTGCCATTGACCCCTGCCAGGTCGAAAAGCTGGCAGGTAATTGCTTGCAGAAGGTAACCTTCGAGCAGGCAGTGCAGCAGTGCAGCCACGTGCGGGCGAAAAGCTGCGTTTGGACTTGGCCTCTGAGGTGGAGCGCTCGCAGAACACCGAGGATGGATTTCAGAAGATCCGAGAGGCTTGAACTGACATGCTCACTGTGTAGTGAGATTCATGTAGCGAGGGTACACTTCTGAAAAGGTGACGGGTTTGGCAGATGTCATGGACATTGTTCACAAGCGCCTCGGTGGTCAAGGACATGGTCCGGTCAACATGGTGTCGGCCGTTGTGTGCAGGTTTCTGAACAGGGATGTAGAACATGAAGCACTGAAGAGCTCAGTCAAAGAAGCAGAGGCTTGCCGCTCAAGCAAACTCTTTGAGCTGTGAGATGCCCTGCAAATCCAGTCGCATTTAATAGTGCTGAAGGTCCGTTTGGACAATCTGCGAGAGCAGTTTGAACGCTTCAAGCGTGATACAGACGGTGGAGGGCCAAGCTTCAAGCTGTCCGTTCGCAGCAAGTGCATTGGAACGTAGCCCCAACGAAGGCGTCACCTTCGACACTGACACGTCTGGCAAGTCCCGTGCCATTTACCTCGAGGCATTGCAAAACGGCCCGCCATATCGATCACTGGCCTAAGCACGGCCTACTGGCACGTATCCTGCTCCACGGTTGAAGCTTGAAGGTCGAGGAGCACGAAGCCAAGCTCAACTTGTGTCAGAAGGACAGAAGTGTTCTGCTCATTCAATCGGAGAAGCAATCTCCAGCCAACTACCTGAGGAGCATGAGCATAGCCGTGAAAAGCTCCAGCAGAGCACCTTACAGGCTGCGCTGTACTTCTTGTTGTTTCGGGCATCGAAGGATTGCGCGTTGCACCTCCTGGTGGCAACACTTCGGCTTGCATACTGCGTACTTCCAGGTGGAGCACATGAAGCGCTGGGCCAATCGGATGGGCAGATCTTTATCGATGTTTGAGGACCTTGGCAGCTGTCGAGTCGGGGGATGCAGAAGCATGATTCTTTGTTTGTGATGCTGTGATCCATTGATGGTATATGCACGTCCTCGATACTTTTTGCATGCGCACTGGATTGCATGAGCCGGGAAGTCGTTGAACACAAGCGCCAAAGGCAAGGCCGCTGCACCAGGTCAGGATGCAGGAAGGGGCCATGCACAAGCTCCGAGTACTGAAACTGCTTTCGCCCAACTTTTCAAGGGATGACAGACGACTCGGTGTGAAAGGACTGTCAGCGCGTAGAGAAGGCATCTGACCTTCCTGCCAACCCCTGAGCGCACTTGGGCCTTGGGCTGTCTTAGCGCTGAGACTCGAAGCTCAAATCTGGGTTTGAGGTATTCTACAACCAGATGCAGCGTGCTGTCGACAAGTTCGTTCAGAACATCGCTCAGCTCATCTCCTCGGGCAAGGCAGCGGTTTGGACTGTCCAGCCGCAGGCCGCAAGGCGGCCGCAAGCAAGGTTTCTCGGGCATGCAGGTGCAGAGGAAGAACATGTCTCAAGCGGGCAGCAAAGAGTCTCAGGAGGCGCGCAGAGTCTGTTTAAGTGTTTCTTCCGGCTGCATCTCACCATATTCACCATATCTCACCTGCAGGCTCGCCGGCTCCTGACAGACAAGGACTTCTTAAGAGCATGCGACTCAGTTTCTGCGGGCCACGTCAGCCGCAGCTTCTAGCGGAGATGCGAGTCCACAGGCCAATTGCCGCGTCTTGATTCCCGGGACGGCCTGCCTCTGGGAAGCCACGAGAGTAGAGTCGCAGATGTCGCCTGCAAAGTGCAGGGTGGCAAAGATGCTCCCGAAGAAGATGCTGACGAAATCCAGAAGCATGACCGAGACAGGCGGCAGCGGAGTTTGCGAGTCTGGCGGCTGGAATTCTGATACGACCTCCGCGAGGTGCAAAAAAGAGTCATCAGACCGTGTGGCACTCGCTGAGATGCAAAAGAAGAAAGGTGGAGTCAAATGAAAACACAGGTAGCAGCGAACTGCCTAGCAGTGCGCCAGATTGGTGAAACAGTGCAGTCAAGACTTCGCCCAACTTCCGTTTGCGTGTCGGAGGAACCATGTTTCACTTTTTTTAGCTTCGCAATTGCTGAATCAGGCGATTGGCTGTGGCTTTATGGTTTAAATGTGTGCTTGAGCTGACATCTCCTGCTGCTTTGAGCTCTCATCCAACCTCATGTAGTTGCACCCGAAGATGTTGGAGGTACTCCTGGCTGTTCTTCCTGGTGTTCTGGCTGGAGAAGCACCCATGAAGGCAGCATGCCACAATCTCTTCAAGAATACGTTTTATCTACCTGTTTTGTGCATGTTGTTCATGTCACAGGGCGGACGTTTTTCCCTAACTTCCGGTTACTATGTGCAGTGTAAGTTTGGCGAGCTGCGACTCCTGTGATGTTCCTGTGCTCAAGGTAGCGCCGTCACCGGTGGCCTGGTGCTCGTCAGAACCCGGAGACGATGGCCGGTAGGACGCCGCGACCTGGTCCACAGATGTCGAGGGAGCTCGAGAAGTTCTTCGGCACACGGGCCAGCTGCAGAAGAAGTAGGGCACGGAGCCTCCGTCCGCAAGAGCGTCAGATCCGCTGATTTCGCGAGCCATGGAAGCCGCACCACTCGACCTGTCGCGTGAGACTCCAGTGGGAGGGCTCTCGGCCGTTTTTGTGTGTTCTGTAGCAGTGGGAGGAATCTGTAGAGCACATTGAGCGGTTGCCAACTTCGAAACAGAGACTGGGCCGATCCGAGTGGGAAAAGGGTTAACCCCATACACTAGCACTCCGTGTGTTCGGTATTTTTGCTATGCCGAAGCCTTGCCGGCTCAAAAATCATCATGATGTGCCGTTTCACATATTCCACTTACCCTATAGTCTTGTAGCCCCTGCGGTGCCGCTCAGACCGCATCCAGAATTCAGGGATACGGCCTAGTCCTGCTTTCTGGGGAGCTGGGCAGCGCATCCGAGGTTTGAACGACGCAGGCAACATGGAAGTACAGTCTCGGCCGCCTCCCCCCACTTCACCGCCGCTGCCACCAGAGGCAGGCAGTGATGGAGAGAGTATGACAGAGTGCACTGGAAGTCCAAGTTTCCCTGCTCGCAGGCGTATAAGCCTCGGGAAGCTGCTTTCTATGGTCGGCTGAAGGAGGCCCCTGGTGTGAGCGCAGCAGCTCAGGTCTCCTTCTCGTTGCGAGTTCCCGGAATCTGTAGGCAACGATGGATCTGGGAGCGGCGCATATCGACTCCTTGCGTTCCTCGGCCCTCTCTTCGAGTCCACCCTTGGAAGGGCTTGAAGTGGCGAGTTTTCCTTTTTTCGTGTGATGGCGAACAGGTGCCATCTTCACTTCACGGGTTTTGCAGACCCGGACCCGCCTTCATGGCCTGACGACCGGCAACGTGCAGCTGAGCTGATAGAGTCTGATGGAGTCGCGAGAAGCCTCGAAGGCTTGGCTGCACTTAGGCACGGGCCTGGAGATCACGATCCGAAGCTGTCGGGTCTTCGAGCACGACGCTGAAAGAGCCTGAAAGAGCCTAAACGTGACGGCTGCTGCTTCGCTTCTTTGTCTTTGCAGCCGAGGGCAACGTTCTCGCGCTGGGGCTTGGCCTCCTGGAGAGGACTGAGGCTGAAAGCTGAGATGTGCAAACGGTTACCCCAGCGGTTCCCTGGTCGATTCTTCGAGGCGGTCTTGGATCTGCTTCTGCAGCTGGCAGATACGGAGAGCCCAGAGCACCAGGCCAGGCCCTGAGGCCGAAAGCCATCGCCATCGCCCCTCCTGAGACGCAATATAGTATATAGATCAGTTCGTGGCTGAGGTGGCTGCCATCAAAGATGAGGAATTCGAAGGTCTGGGAGTGTCGATCCTGCTCGCATACAGCACGCTGATCGTTGAAGTGAGGCGACCATGACCGCCGGGGTGGCTTTTTGCATGTGCCCCGAGTTCTATCCACACAGGCGCGCTGAGTTGGCAAACAGCAAGGCATGCTGCATCTCTGCGTGATCCCAGCCAGACTCGCAGGTCTTTCAGTCTTTTGCTGTGCCGCTGACAACATCTCGCACTGTAAAAGTCACGATCGTCGGCGTGCAGGCACACGAGATCACACGAGCCATTGGCAATCATCAGCATATTCGCAGCAGCAGCATTGCTAGGACACCTGTGTATCGATTCTGCAGCTCCTACGGGTGCAAGAGCTGTGGCAGACTCTTCGAGGTCTACACAGCTGGGCTCAGGACACAGATGAGCTACACGAGACAGCCTGCACGTGAATTGCTCACAGGAGAAGCAGAAGGAGCTGACAGATGAAGGCTCCACTCCAAGACCAGCCGTTGCAGTTCGAGCCGCCAATTTTGCGTGAGAAGCTCGGGTTCACCGACATTGGGCAATTACAAACATCTCAGTGGCATGCAGTGGCCTCTTCCGCCCAGGCGGCGTGGCTGCGAAAAGCTGCTGGGCGATCGGCTAGGACGGCTCCTGGACAGCGTCTCTCCAAGATGTACGATGATCTCTCGGCAATTCATTGCCAGTATTATGATGTTCCTGATTTCATGGTTCGAAATTGACAAGCATTTTCTGAGGCCGCGTGTTCGTGCACCTCTTGGGGCGGCATGCGCCGAATGATGCCGAGGTTACTGGCTTGGTTGCAGGCAGTTTCTGGTCCAACGTTTGCGAGCCACAAGTTCGGCAGGAGGTTCGCAGCAATCTCGAGGAAGTTGGACAGGCTGGTGGCTTGTTGGCCCTGACTCACACTTGGCTGTCATACCTGGACCTAGCAACTCGCATTAGCACAGGCTCCAGGCTTGTTTGTGGAGGAGATCTTCCAAGAAGTTTCTCCTGAGCACCACGACATCATGCAGCTTGCTTGGTTTGCAACCTGACTTGCTCCCGTCCCTGCCCTCGTCAGTCAGCTTTTCTGTGGGATGGTGTCGTCAAGGCTTGCAGACCTTGGGGAGCTGCAGAACGGAAGCGGCCGTGGCATCCAGCTCGTGGTGAAGAACTCCTTCTTCGAATTGGTAGAGGCTCTCAGCACGACTTCACAGCTCAGATGCCCGAGTCGATGTCATAGGCTGGAACGGTTGCCAGGAAGAGAGCCCACGAGAGATGCGACGAGCACGCTCCTGCGATGCAGTGCTGACTCTGGGCCTCGTGGAAGCGCTTCAGGCCAGCAGAAGCAGACGTAAAGCCTCCCGAATTGACAGTTGCACGACACTGCGGGACTTGCAAGCGGGTGAGTTGAAGAGGGTGTGGGGAGTGACTCACTTATGCTCACAGGCTGATGCTTCTGCGAGACTCGCATCGCCAAGCTCGACATCCAGAAGGTGTTGTGAAGCTAGTGAAGGCAGGCTATGCGCCAAGCGACATGGGCATGAGTTTCTTGCCGACCGTCATTCGTGCAGGTTCCCAGAATGGTGTGGCTTCTGATGCAGCGAACACTGGAAGTGCTGGCAGCTCCTATGCTAAAGCTTCAGGAGGGCTTGGTGAACCTGGCGTTGTGTCCACCGGAAACGACCCTGCCACGAACGCAGCGGTGCCATCATCCTCCGTGCCTTCGAGACTAGAAGCATCGGCGGATGATGCACTTGTTGGTGAAGCCAGCCCAAGCCACCAAGGCCCCCGAAGCCTTTACGCAAGTGGAGCGTGGCACATACCGGCTTGCCGTCCTCGGTACGTTTCGCTCCTGAAAGGTGAAATCATCGAAGATGCTGATCGGATGACTGTCAGCGACTCACACCAGCCGCCGCAAACCACCCCACTGCATGCCAGAAAGCAGGCTCAACATTTCCAAACTTTTTGTTTTGTTGAAGCGCGTGCACAATCTACTATGTCTTAGATTTCATCCTGTATCAGACGGCAGTACGTTAGGCTGCACTGTGCTACAATCACTTCACCATACTCTGTCTAGGCAGTTGTATGATGCATTCCCTTTATGTGACACCGTTTATGGTGCATTGTGGATATCATATTGTATTGTATTGTACTGTAGCATGCTGTCTGAAGTATTGTACGATAGCGAGCTGCGTTTCTTTTACGCACTGAATGGTTCTTGCAGAGGCACATTGTGGTCAGACGTGCGAAGTACGCCAGTAGCTACACTGCCTGAGTGGCACACCTGAGTTTCACTGTTTCTGCTTGGTGCTGATCTGCCGCTTTCAACCAACCCAAAGCACGCTGAAGATCTGAAGGCTTCAAAGTGGAGGTTGGTGGTAGGGTGTTTATGCGAGGTCATGCTCCGAAACGTGCCGCAGGAGTGGCAGCCTCAGGTTATACACCAGTCATCACCATTCTGAGTCTTGGCGCCGCGAGCTTTCTTGTAACTCCACAGAAGTCGCAGGTATTCCCGCCGAAATGTGCTCGACCTGCTCGACAGAGCAGGATTCCACGGCAGGAGCGCTCCAAGAACGGTCAACGCAGCAACGCCGTCTGCTGGAGTCTCCCGCGTTGATGTTGCAGTTTTCGTGGCTGTGCAGACTGTCAGGTATGACTTCGTGTACTTGCCCGTTGATTTTACTAGGGGACGTAGCTTGGGGCCCTTCGGCTGCATGTAGGTAGCAAATTTGCTGCCATGTCCTGCGATCGTCTCAGTCCTGCACAGCCAGGTATGCTCTGGTCGGACTCGTCAGCCATGAGGATGCCCGACAACTACTCGAACAACTTCAGGTGTGACGGCTTGGTGGAAATCCAAGGCTACAGCAAAACATGCGATTCCTGTTGGAAGGGATGCTCCTTTCCTGGATTAGACCCCAGTGTTCGCTGTGAAGCGTCCTGGAGCCAGATCGGTTCTCAGTCTTCTTCAGCAGCTGCAGCCTTCGTGTCACTGCCGATCCCAGCCATCGCTGCACAGGCCTCATCGAGGTCTCTCTGGCCATATCGAGAGGTATAGAAACAGTGGCCTCTTCAGCCTTTGGTCCTTTAAGAATGGCACGACATGTTGGCAAACCTGACTATCAGGTCCTGTCATGCATCCCAGCATGCCCGACGAGTACAAGGCAAGCCCAGAAAGTGACAAAGATGTATACATTGACTCGCTTCCACACCTGTCGCTGCCCTGGCTGACAGCCCGTGATATTTGTCAACGGCGAGCGCGTCGACTTCCCAGCCCCCACGAAGACAATCCGAGCTCCACGCATTCGGCATCCCAAGACACAGCGTCGGCCGCCAGGCCTGGAATAGTAGCCTGTGCAGTTTGCAGTTCCCTTGAGCTAGCTAAGATTGAGATTGGGGCGGCCGGGTAAGGGCTAGGGGATGCAAAGTGCCGCTTCTTCCTTCTGTGTGGGCAAGCAGACAGGCTGACCCAAGATCAACGGTTCATCATCTGTCTCGAAGGTCGAAGGTTGCAGGATGTTGCAGGGAGCACCGCAGGGCATTATTGTGTATCAGCTGCGTTTAGTTGCAGGATGTCGTTACAGATGCCGAACTCACTTCAGGGTTGAGGCGCCCTGTGTATCATGAAAGTGCCTCGCGAGGGCGACGTGACGAACCCAAGCTCCCCACCAGTGGCGATATCCCATGGTTTTTGATGGGGAGCAAACCTCGGGTAAAGGGAGAATCGGGAGAGGAGGACTCTGACTTCTAGCATGTGCCATGCTTGAGACAAATCCATGTGGGAGAGGTCTGAGCTTCATCCGTACGCTTTGCTTCCTGAAAGATTGGTGGGGCAGCCTTTTGCCCACCTGCTACTTTAGCTCTGCTAAGCGATCGTGAATCGTCCGTGGACAAGGAATCCCGAAGCAAGCTTTTTGCGGGATCCGCCGGCATCAATGGTGGGCCATCGTAGGCCGACAACCGTTGAGCACTCCTGAACACAACAGCATCTCACGGCGGTAGATAGGACACGGGCGAACGAGCATGTTCCATCGTAAATGAACCGCAAAGCTTATGCAGGATCGCCGGTCCTGGAACACAGGACGTCCCAAACCGCAAATTCAACATCCGCCAATCGTGCACAGGAAAGCGATGAAAAATGCAGCTTGCACCAAGCATCAGGAAACGAATCATAAAGATTAAACAAAAGCAATTCGAATCCAAGCGAACAAATCGAGAACTGCAAAGCGAGGACAAACAACAGCAGAACAAAACACGTCAAGCGGAACGTAGCTCAAAACACAGCGTAAGCATGCAAATGCAGCTGCGTGATTGCTGTGTTTTCGCTAGTTTTTTTCTTTTAATGGTTGTTTCAAGCTTTATCGGTTGCTTGCTTTCTGCTGAATTTTCCGCTTTGTCTTGCAAGAGGCCAGGCCGCAAGGGCACCCGCATTGCTTTCCAGTTTTTTGCTTTTCAATCACTGGGTGTTCCGTCACCCCCAGTCTGGCGCTTACGATAGGTTAATTGCGGTGGGTACGGTTTACTTCGACGCCGATGCGCGGATTCCCTGGCTGTGTCTGCAGGACTTCAGGGTCCGCCAGACGGTCTGTGACAAGATGAGCGGGTTTCGGCGGTCGAAACCAGAGATCTTCGTGTGTACAGGACGCTGAGGGGTGGAACACTTGCAACTGCCAGAAGCTTCTCAAGATGAGACAGTTGGTGTCCCTGGGGTCACCATCCTTGAGAGCTGACTACAGATGCAAGTGTGCGAGTGTCACCCTTCACTGAGTACAGGAGCAGACACCTGACATGTGACACACAAGCCATCCTGCCCTTGGCAACGATACTCTTTGTCCTAATGTGCTGACCAGTGCCTGTGCAGCTTGCCGCGCTTCTGCATTGCTCCACAGCTGCAGGTTTTAAATCTCGTGGACGATTGGACACTTGGTCCACATCCCGCAGCACCCAGTCAAGCCACCAAGCACTATCCGGGTTACGTTTCCATAGGGTACGGTGTTAACGCATGTTCGGACACTTCTTCGAATGTTGTCTTGTCGTCAAACAGCCGATGGTACGCCCAAGCTCTGGTTTCCTTGCTTTTATTTGTAGTTATGTTTCTCTGGGCCGGTTTGGTCAAAGGAGTTTTGCAGCTGTGAAGGAAACCTCAGCCTGAAAAGAGCTTACGTTTGAGCAGAAGCTCTACTGCGCTGCGTCCATCCGTCAGTACTTCAGAGGAAAAAAGCATTTGTCTGCCTGCAAGCGCTGTTTGGGTTTCCGGGTTTCCACACAGTCACCGTTCTGGCCGCAGCTTAGTTGTTTGCAGCACCAGCGGCATGGGTGCGAAGAACACAAGGTTTTTTTCCGACTTTGGGAAGGTCAGCGCGATCCGCACCCCCTGCATACTGTACTCTATGCACCTTTCAACAGCGCAGGCAGATCGAGACTAACTAGACTCATTAGACCTGGACCGATGCAAAACATGAATGTGTGACATGGTATAGTTGCAGCAATGGTGCTCAACTTTGACTTCCTGCAGCTGCCTTAAGCCCCGGTTGAGGCATGGGATGGACACATTAGACGTTGGGCCATAGTTGCTGGTCAGTGTTCAGAAACCAACTGTCCACAGTTTCGACGACTTGACGGTGGCTCCAAGCTATAAGGAGTGGCTGGAGAAGATCCGATGCATCGCAGCAAATGTCCCTGAACCCTGCGCGAATCTCAGACGGTACGAATGGAGACTCCAGGGCCTGCAGAGTCTGCATGCCGATGCAGGTTGCCTCGCAGGAGGAAGGCAATGCTGAGGGCGATGACGATGCACAAGGCCTGTTGTGCTGTTCCCTGTATGCAACCCCATCATGAATCAAGTCAGGTGTTTTATTGAGACCACGGGGACCGTTTCCGGCGGATGCCGTTGGGATTGACGCCCGCGTGTTGCTGAGCCAAACTACGTAAGATGAGTGTTGGGCAGGGTACCGGAATTTGCCTGCCGCTGAAGGTCAAGGCTTGTGGTGGCTGGTGCAGGAGCGTGGTGTTCCAGTCTAGTCTCAATTATAGGCTGGTAATCTGCTGCAGGATTCCGATTTGCTGTTCTTCCCCTTCCCAGGGGAGCATGCGGCTTAAACTGTGATAGATCTTGAGCGGACTGCGGCCAGGATGTCAGTTCTTGCTGCATCGTGGTTTTCTCGAGCGCAGACTTCTGGAGCAACTAGCAGCTTAAGCTTCGGAAGTGCTGTGGCCGACGTGCTTATTTAGCGAGAGCCTGTGCAGATTTGCGCTACTTGTAGGGGGTTCCAGAATGCCATGGCGGCTGACCATGAAGTCCGAATCGGGCTTTGGGCTAGTGCAGCTGGTGAGCAGCTTTTTGGACACATCTTCGAGGCCTCGAAGCTGCGCAGCATGGGCGAAAGGCAGGGAGGCCGTTGTAAGGTCCAACTGGAAGCATGGGTCGATGAAGCGGTTGTGGACGCTTACGAGGATGATGCGGAGACGAGCAAGCCTATAGCACCAAGCCAGGGCCAAACAACATGTGGCATTTTGAGCGAGCTAGGGTTTTGGTTTCTCCGAGACTTGACTGTCAGCCTGCGGTTTCTAGTAGCAGCCTCCGAGATACTGTAGACTGTACTGGTAAATATATATATCAGATTTTTACATAGCTTTGCTGGTGCAGCAAGGAAAGGAGGACCTCCTCAACTTGCCTCAGCGGTGCCCGCCATACCAAACACTGAAGCAAAGGAAGCTATTGGCATGGCGCATCATACCCTTTCAAGAAATAATGAGCGGCGAACTGAAGAGGTCCACCGCGGTCGTCACTCATGTTTGGCTCAGCAAAAAGCATTTCGATCCGGATGGACTCAAATTTACGAGGCTGAAGGAGGTCCTTGCATCCGAGGCCTGCCGTTGGATCGAGTACGTTTGGCTTGACTTCGCTTGCGTTCCTCAGCCCTGGAACGAGGACGGGTGTTACGAGCAGCTTTCCAAAGAAGATGAACTTCTTCAAAAGCAATCGGTGGATCACTGCCTTACTTCTCTGTATCTGGGCGCCACTGTCATAGCTCTTTGGGATGATGGCTTCAATGCCAAACTTTGGCCATCTGCTGAGCTTTTCGTTTCCTGCAAGACCCCAACACTCCTCGGGCTAACTCCGAGTTTGCCGGAGCATCATCGGCTAATGCTTGCATGCATGCAAAGTCAGCAGGGCCAGGAAGCCAAGATCGAGGAGCAGGTCCTAAAGACATGGTCCAGCATGTCTGCTGCCACAGCCGGCGACCTTTTCATGCAAGAGAAATTCAAAGTGACTGTTGCGAGAGACAAAACTGCAATCACACATGTCATCGCACACATTGAAGCCGGTCTTCGACAACTCTTCCGAGATCAACCTTGCTTGATCACCCCACGACAGGCCATTGCCGGCCTGAGCTTGGCCAAAGCGCTCTGCAAGCTTGAGTTTACGATTGACGTGAAGCACATCAACCGCGTCTTGAATCGCAAAACTGCCATCATGTTGGTTGCTGAACAAGGTCGCGACGATCTGTTGCGCTTAATACTCGCCGTACCTGATGTTGATGTGAATGCTCATGACACGTCGGTCGGATGCACAGCACTTCTGCTGGCTGCCAGAGAAGGGCATGGAGCTGCTGTGCAGCTTCTCCTTGCCGATGCACGCACGGACGTGAACGCAAAAGCAGACAACGGGGACACTGCACTGACCATAGCATTGTCCAACGACCGGTTCCAGATCGCAACGTTGCTTCTGTCCCATGCTGGTGTTGATATCGATGCTAGATCAATGCGCATCGCGATTGAGAAGGAGCTTGACGAAGCCCTCTTTGCCCAAATTCTGGCATGCCCTTCACTGGACCTCAACAGGGACCTGAGCAGTGCGAAGTGCGGTGCCGGTTTCAGGCCGCTGCATCTTGCAGTGCAGCGTGGCAGCAGGAGAGTTGTGCAGCAAATTCTAGGTGCTTCGTCCTGTGTGGACATCAATGCTCCAGCAGCTGGAGGTTTCACGGCCCTACATGTTGCGGTAGAACATGACCAGGTCGTGGCGGCAGAAGCCTTGCTGTCCTGGCCAGGTATAGACCTCAATGCTTGCACGACTCAGGGCTTCACCCCCCTGGCACTGGCTGCGATCAATGGGCGGGTGCAGTTCATTCGGCTGTTCTTGAAGATGCCGGACATTAGCGTGGGCCCTCCTTCAGTATTGGCACTGGCCCTCCAAACAGAATCCAGCGAGTCTGAGGAGATCGCAGATTCCATTCTTGCTGCTAGGGCCGAAGTTAGCCCACACACTGTCAAGAGCTGCCGAGAGCTGGTCAAGGTTGTTCGGAATGTACGGGAAGAGCTTGTGGCAGGGATTGGCTTCCCTGGCAAGCTTTTACGGGCGGCCGTGCAGGAAGGGAATGTCGAGCTCTTACGATTGGTTCTCGCAACTCCCAGGTTGGACGTCAATTCGAAGGTTTTCTTTGCGGAAGGCACTGCATTACAATATGCAGCAGAGAGAGGGAGGCTTGAGATCTTGAAAGTTCTCCTGCAGGTACCAGCTATCGATGTCAACGCAAATTCTAGTGGATGGACGGCATTGCATGCAGCAGCAGAACATGGTCATGAAGGTATCGTGCAAACCCTACTTGGAGCTCCCGGGATTGACACCAACATCCTCTCCGGATTCTACACACCGCTGGCCGTAGCTGAGCAGACACGTCAAGACCGAGTGGCTGCTTTGCTTCGACGTGGCGGAGGCAAGCGATGGTCCAAGACCTGGCTGCCTTCTGGTACCTGATGGCAAAGACAGGCACCTCTTGGAACGCTGAGTGGACACGGTCATCCTCCCACAGCAGGGTTCGGGTGTACACGTCGCAAAAGGCATGTCGAGAAACTCGTGGAAAGATTTGAGCTTCAATTTCTTGAGACGGAGGATGTACTGACACATGCTCAATCCCGTCGCCTAAGCCCTTGATCGCGTGTTGTGGCTGCGTCGTGAATCGTGCATGTCGCAGAAGCAGAAGAGACCGCACAAACGCCTGGTCAGTCTGGTGTCCAGCACGGATAATGATGGAGGATGCTGGACTACAGGGTCCGGGTCTGCTGTGGTTTGGCGTGGCGACGTTGTCCGGTACTCGCCAGCTTGACGGAGATGCGCTGCTGGTGTGACGGTTTGGGATGCTGGCATGTGGCTGGGAATGAGCCTGGCCTTGCGGAGCGAACAGCCCTCAATGAAGAAAGCAGGGGGTTTTGTCTGTGCATTGAAGGTGTTGTTTATGCTCCAACTCTATCATACTCTTTCGCTACTTCTACCACACTTCACCACTTCTGCTTCCTTCGCGTGGGAGGGTTCTGTCTGATCTGTTAGGTGACCGTGAGGGAGGGAGAATCCGTTGCAAGAGTGACCCTGAAACCATCGGGCTGGGACATCGAAAGTTCCGAGCATGCACAAAACCCTTTTGCTCCACTGATCACTGAGGCCATCTTCGCCGCTTGGTGCTTACGCAACGGTCTCAAACCATCAGGAATCCGAGATATATCAGCTTGAGCACTGATGCCAGTTCAGGCATTGCCTGATGCCAAACTGCAAGCCGCCTGCGTGGCCCCCCTTACAGGGGCGGTTTACAAGGCGAGCAGATTCCTTCAGAGTCATTTTTCGGCCATCTGCTAGCTGGCTTTGCCAGGCTACTGTGTGTTGTTGCGTGGGGGGGCGGCTAGCCTCGGCAACTTTGGAAGAGACATGAAGAGACGGGGCTTGAGAAGAGTGTGGGGAGCCATCAGGGGTTTCCACGGGGGCCAACCGGCCCGGGCCGAGAGTGACGGGAAAAGGCTGCAGATTGCCGAAGGAAGAGGCTAAGCCTAAGCATGCTAAGCATTGGAGGGAGGAGTGCAAGGCAGCCTAGGGAAAGACCTTTAATGAACTTTTCTCAGGGCTCATCCTCGATTCGCAAGCCAACATTGGCGGTTGTTTGCAGGGGCCCTGGAGTCCTAGAGCCTTCGACACATCCAAGTTTGCGCGGCTTCGGAACTTGCACCCGGCCGCGCTCAGTTTCGGATTGGCGGATCTCCGTCTTTCCGAACGGACCTCGTGTGGATCTGTCCGGTGCTTGATGAAAAGATATAGAAAAGATGTCACGTGTCGTCGGGGAAGCATCGGAGTTCTAAAGCAGCACAGTGGCAGCAGGGGGCGACCACCTGGAATACCGGCTGAGGAGGTGCCCCTATGCGTCCACCTCCGACTCCGACACTGCATAGACTAGGTTTGCCGCTTGCCAGGTCCCAGCTTTCGTTCGCTCCGCGGCCCCACATCCTGGTCACGGATGTGTTGGTGTCGTCCTAGTCGCACAGCACTCACTGAGTCACTTTTCGTTCATCAGCCGCTCCTTCCAGAGCCAAGGTTGGAACCCAGAGTGGACTTTTGTTCTCTCTCTTCCTCACGCAGGAAGGCCCAGGCGGCCCAGGCTCCTTCAAGGCCTGGCCCCCTGCGGCCCGTGTGAGACCACCTTATAAGCAGACATAAGCGGAGGTTGAAGCTGGCAAGTTCTGGCCGACAGTGTCGGAACACTGCCTCTACAATTTCTTCAAGAGAGTCAGAAGGACAGGCCTTACTGGCCTTACTGCCATCGCATCGCCGATTTGCACATTTGCCGGGTATGTTTGGAGGTTCAGGACTGGCGCAGACGTATCTCAGGATCGTCATATGCAGGAGGCTGGGATGGCCGGTCCAGAAGCATTGAACAGCTGGTCTGCTATTCAAGCTACTTGACTCTCTCCGCACAAGTCTACGCAGGAGACGCCGTTCTTAGCTCAGAAGATTGAGACCGTCTCGGCAATGCCCTCAGTCCTGACCTGCCAGTGTCAAGTTTGGCGAGCTCCTGGCAGCTTAGCCGCGCAGTGACGCTGCGAAGGCAAGCTCCTCGAGCAGCCTTTTTGCCACTCTCGCCTGGAATCAGGACTTTCCTGCCACTTGCCTGCTGAGGGTGTTGACACACACACACACAGAGCGAGAGAGAGAGAGAGAGAACGCCTTGCACCTTCAAGCCTGGTGACAGACAGCGTGCCTTGCAGGAGCAGCTGGCATACTACACTCACCCGCGTCCCCTGCCTGGCCAGTATTCGCATTTTGCAGCTCCGGGCTAGGTGTGCATGCATGTCGAGGTTGGGTGGGTGCTGCAGACCTGGTTTGGACAGTCTCCCTCGCCCAGCTCGTGCGCCGCCCAAGCAGTATGGGGTCATGCATGATCGTGCAAGTTTCATTTTTGGCTGCGCACAACACTGCTTTCTGGGCAGGTTGCCGGAGACCCGTCCACGAAGCTGCTGTCGGTCTGTCGATGCCCTACTCTTGACGGCGAAGCACTGTTGCCCTCAATCAGCAAACATACGTCATACGTGTTACTTGCTACTGAGGCTACGGTGGAAAGAACGAAGGTTGCGATGACTCGATCTTGGTTCTCTACAGGGGCAAGGAGACTTACGATCGCAGCATCTGTGACCGTCGGCTTAACCAAGCCTCAAGAGGACACAGCAGGAAGTGAGGCATCGCTGCTCGCCAGCCGCGGCCTTCAAATCTTAGTTTTTTTTGCAGAGCTCAGCGCGATGTAGTGGCTAAGGACTTGCCTGGCCTGCTCGCACGGCTCCGGTGCAGTCTTCATGCCAACAAGCCGTGCCTCAACATGCCACTTACTCCAGGGGAATGCTCTATCGGCAAAATGTCAGCTGCGAAGTTCTATACCCGACTGAGGGAGAAGTAGTGGGGCCACCTTCGCCTGTGAACGGACCGTGCTGATGCAGCTGATGCATTGCCGAGGGCGCTTCAAGTGGTAGCTTCACTCCAGGACCAGGTTTCGTGGTTGCCTTTGGTGACATCGTAGTGAGTGCCATCAAGGCCGCTTCCGTCGGATGCAATCGCACGTCCCTCTGTCATTTAAGAGTTTGTGGCAGGTTGAAGGAGGGGACCGCTTTGCGATTTGCATGACTGGTCTGGCTGGACAGCGATTACAGGCAGGTGTGAGCACCTCAGATTCCTGATGCTAAGAAGATTTTCTGCGACCGGGCAGCGGCGTATGACTCACTGACTGACTGCGCAGCGGGCAAGCACTGCTGGCCAAGGTAAGTCAGATCGTGGACTATGGCATTCTAGGAACGGTGTTAAACCTTGTTTGTCGGCGTTTCCACCTGTGTGCATGCCAGGACTCTCACTGCTTCCAGAGGGCATCAGTGGTGGTCACATGCAGGTGCTATTTGTACTTTGCTTGAGCTCGTTCATGTGGACGCGTGTGCTAAGCGGCAAGAAAAGTGCTGTGTCTGGTTTCCAGAGAAGTCTCTCTCAGGTGCTGACACCTCATGGATTGTTGAGTTGCCCACAGGACGGACCCTTTGATCCGAGGGAACATGTCACGTCGGATGGGTCGGCATGATTTGTGCTTGTGCGAGGACATGACTGCCGTTGGCAAGGCGCCTGCAACACCGAGCGTATGACGGGAGCTGGGGTGGACCGGGGGGGGGGGTCTGATGGAGGAAACTGGTGGACAATTGCCTTCCACTGCTGATGCTTTCATTCAAATGGCTTACGATCTCTTCGATGCTGGGCAGGAGGCATCGGAGCATGAGCTTGCATTTCTGGAAGCCCCATGGCCCGGTGTGCGTGGTCGTGACGCACAGGAGCAGGCGGTATCTATTTCCGTGAGGGCTTTTTCCCAAGTTGGAGCACAACCAATGCTTCTTGCGGTGCCTTTGAAGCATGTTAATGTCCGCGCACTGACTTCAGAAAGACGCTGCTTCAAGGCAGGGACCTCTTTGCAATCCATTCTCGAGTGTTGCTCTGCATAAGGTTGAACAGCGAACGCGGAAACTATTGGATGCCGATACAAGCCCGAAGCGGACAGCGCGCCTTTCCCTCATGTGATCAGAGGGCATCCCTGACCGGATTGTGGCGATGCACATAGGAAAGCTAAGGTGAACCTCTTGACATCAGACAAATGCTTATCACCAAAGCACGCAGTCTGGAGCACTGGTTGCAGTTCCTCCAGAAGGTACACTCCTTGCAGAACTTTTTTCTTTGCGGCTGAAGTCCAGTGCGCACATAAGCCAGGTGGGGATCTGGATCCGAATGGGAAGTGCCCCCAACATCACCTCAGCCCAGCAGAATGTCGTGGAGGCATGTAAGCTCCGCGGTTGTGAATCACTGAACTGCTGCTCTCCGAGTGCGGTACCCAGGCCTGCGAGCGAGCAGCAGCTGCGATGAGATTGGTCGAGTACCATGACACCGCATCCGATGTCTTTGCAGCTCGTCAGTTCAGATTGAAAGTCGATTTGCACACCGCTGCGTCCGCCCCCATAGCACACATGTGCCCCCGTCTAGATCGCCTGCAGCAGGAAACTAATCCAAGCGGTTGGAGCCAATGCAGATCCCTCACGGGGGCAGGTTTCCATGTAGATGCCCTGCTGGGATACACCTGCATCTTAAAGTCACTTCCGGCCACATCCACAGTGGTGCTGCATGCGTTTTCCTTTCTCAGCGAAGCGCTGCGATTTTCGTCCCAATCGAGCAAGTTTACCGTTGCCCGGGGTCCCTGAAGACCCTCGGCCCTCTGCGTGCGTTGATGATTTTCACTTCTGGGGCTGACTTGACTCTGCAATGGTGAGAAGAAGAGTCATGTTGCATAACATAAGCATCATGCATATGTTGCAGAAGTCTCGGTAACACCAGTGCTAGAAGAGACGCCATTGAGCACACCGATGCGAAGGGGAGAGCGGGAAGCGGCATCATCCCTGCCTTTTCTTGGGTGTCGTTTGTTTCTTGGGAGCAACAGTCTCGAATTCCAGAGGGCCCACGTATGACCTGAGAAAAAGTACCCTCGGCCCGCTGACGCCAACGTCTCCCACCCTGTCGGGCAACATAGACTGGTGACGGGAGTGAACTGGAACGGGGCTGTCGGTCTCGTGGTTTCTGGCAACCGCATGTCTGAAAAACCTACCAGGCGTCGATCTTCGGGATGTTTACCGTACGCCGCATCTGGCGCAACATGGCGAAACAAAATGCTGGCGCGGCACAATCCCACATCTTGATCGAAATAGCCTTCCTTAAGGTGCGTACACAAGCTTACCCGCGAAGTTCCTGATCCTTGACGTAAGTTCTACATGACAAAGCCCACCGCTAACCCCAGACCCTTGAGATCGCTTGTTCGATGAAACAGGTCCCCACACCATCCTGAGTGTGGCAGGGCTTGACAGCCCTCGCGATGCCGGTGACAGTTTGGCTGTAGCATTAATGTTCTTCATCGTGCGCCAATCCAGGGTATATTGTTTCCACTTTACTGAATGCCATTGCTACTCTTAACTATTTGCCTTCGGCGTCTGATCATTAATCTTATCAGTCGTATCCGATGTTTAGTAACGTGTTTATGTCGCTCAACACTTCTAGGGTTCAAGATCGAAAGCGCAAAAGTTCAGAGCGCGAGGGCCATTTAAGTTCTATAGGCCCACTATCGGCCGCAGCTGACGGGTCCTCACGAAGAAACCTATGTTTATTACCATACCATCGAGGTCTGCTTAAAAGAAAGAACGAAGTAAGGCAAAAAGGCGAAAGGAACAACATGATTCACAGGATAAAGAAACAGTGGACGATAGCACGCAAGCGCAAGGAGGGAGGCCTGACCCGACCTCCTAGATGCCGAGCGAGCAAGCAGGCAAGCAAGCAAGCAAGAGAACCACCCCGGGGGGGGGCGGGGGCTTGCCATGGTAGGCATCCCTTATGACCTGCAGCAAGCAAGCAAGAGCACAAAGAAGACCCAACGCAAAGACAAACAATGCTTGACAAGTGGGAAACGTTAATTCCGAAACGAAAGCATCTTTCCCGAAGGCCCGAAGTTGAGCCCCTGAGCCCGAATCGGAAACCCAGAACCCGCAAAAGCCGAACACCCCACAGATTCAAGGACACGAGAAGCCGCGAACCCAAGCCCCTAACCCCGATCCGAAGTCCTAAGCCGTGAAAAGCCGAACCCAGAAGGAACCCAACTCAACCCAGCCCAGACCCTTAACCTGAAGACGAAAAGCTTGATTCCCTGCAAATCCAACGCAGAAGCTGCAAAGCCATTTTTCCGAGGGCCTCGCGGAAGTCGGAAGCCAAGCCCACAAAGGCCGAAGACCCCAAAGAGTCAAGGCACCAGACTTGACACGAGAAACCGCAAACCTAAGTCCAAAACCAGCACAAGAACAAAGTCTTCGCCGGAAGCCAAAAACTATCCCTAAGCAAGGTTCAGGCCGTGAAAAGCCGAGCACCCGAAGGAGTGAGCCCAAAACCCAGCCCAGCCCAGAACCAAAAACAAGAACCTCAACCGGAAGCCTCAAACTCGAAGGATTGATCCAATCCCAGACCCTGAACCGGAAGCCGAAAACCATGAGTCGTGAAACCAATCTAAGCAAGGCCGAAACTGTAGACCCGACACCTCACCCGAAGCCACTAAGCCCAAACCGGAATCCCAGAATCCGACAAGACCGAACACCCCAAACTTAAGGAGTGAAGAGTGACCAAACCAAACCCTGAACGGGAGGCTGAGAACCCTAAGGACTGGCCGCTTACCGGAAAGGCTGGAAAGAGAGGGTTTTCGTTCGAGACGGCTGCAACAAAGCACGCAGAACAACACTGCAAGGCGACACCATCCAGAAAATCAGAAACACACAGTGGACACCATGAAATGAGACACAACTGACGCCAACATTTTTCAGACAGAAGCGATCCCGGATTCCGGAGGGCGCTTGGGGCTTCGTCTTGATACTGCTGCTCACCGAACTCTCTCTTTGTGATTGTTGAACAGGGCTGCTGGCGCATGCCTTGGATTGGGTATGCACACCCAAGCACATTCGCATTTGCATGCACCTCCCTCCCTCTCTCTCTCGCTCTGTCTCTTTCGCTGTGTCTATCTCTCGCTTTCTCTCTCTCTCTCTCTGTGCCTTTGTGTCTGTCCGTCTGTCTGTCTGTCTGTGCTGTTTGCGAGGTGTCTGTTCTGGGTCGCGTCTTCGCACGGAGGAGGGGCAGTCCAATAGGCAACCCCTTTGTCACTGGTTTTTGGGTGTTGGATCGCTTGGCATGTTGATTTAAGATTTCTGCGGCGCAGATTCCAGGTTCCTAGGTCCTAAGCATGCGAAGCCTTTCAAAAAAATTGCGACTCCGACCTTTTGCACACCTCCCGTATTGCTCGAAGCAAAGCGATGTCAATGTGGAGATGCGTGGAGGAGTTGTTGGGTGTCGTGTACTTTTCACATTCCCGAAATCGAAAAGAGCCAGAAGCGCATAGGCACAGTGCCGCAAAGCGCGTGGTCTGCAATGCAGATGGTTCTTTCTTGCAAGGGCGTGAATCGTGGCCATGCAGGTGTAAACAGGATGTGCCAGCTCTGGCCAGTCAAAGGTTTCTTTCCGATTCCATGCACTTGAAATCTTAGAAGATCGCAGGGGCCAACCGTCAGCGCCCACAACTTGCTATCTGTGCCTGGCGTGGCGTGGCTGGGGTGGCTGGCTGGGTGGCATGGGGTGGCTGGGTGGCTGTGTGTGTGTGTGCGCGTGTGTGCGTGCGTGTGAGCGTGGTAGTACTGATGCCGTAGCAAGGTGCCAGGAGCCCTTTCAGTCGTTGCGCACAGTCGAGATTTCAAATCTTGCAATACTCCGTGGCCTTGACGGATCGCTTGTCCCTCCGCGCTTCTTGTCCATTGATGTTTGCTCTTCCACCCAGGCGAGTGCAATACACAATGCTCTTGACCAAGGCAAGACGCCTTTCACATACACACCGTGCATGATGACAGGCCGTCTGCTTCGATCAGGTATGGTCCAGGAAGCAGAAGACGAAAAGCGCTCATTCTTCAACTGTCGTCACCTCTTTTTCTTGTAGCTACTGCAAGCATTGATGCATGGGCAAATCTGTGCAGTCTCCTAGATTCAGTGAAAACTGAAGGCTTGAGTGGCTGTGAGCGGCTGCTGGGCAGCTTGGCCGAGTATCCCCGCACTTTGCCATTTGGTCCAGGGCTCAGAATGGTAGATGATGGGGCAAGAGAGGCGTGGGTCTTGCCAAAGTTCGGCTTTCATCGGGGAGCGGAACAGGACAATTCATGAAGATCACAAGCGCCGAAATGATTCTAAAATGAGATGGTGCGAGTAGTCATTTCGCAGGCCGGCGCAAACCGAAATAAAAATCGTGGGCTTCCCTGAGCCATCGCCCATGCTGTGCTGGGAAGACAACTCGGACCTGTTTTCGAAAGGTCTTGGTTGAGGGCTCGACAGGGACATTTGGAGGAACGGAGTCGGGGGACTTGGGCGTACAGTGTTCGTTGCTGCTGTTCCGAGCGGATCCTTGCCATTTCGGCCGTAAGCACGACAGGGAGTAAGAGAGAGAGAGAGAGAAAGAGCGACACTATTTCCCAAAGGAAGGGTGGGACGCCGCCCCTTCTACTTGGAGGTGTGGAAGAACACACTATCGCCCAAACCCCGACAAGCAGCAAGCAAGCAAACACTCCCTAGACACCGAAGGGGAAACGTGATTGACGAGTTTGCTGTGTTTGAGCGGCTGCGTGTTGGGGAAGCCGTTCCTGCAAGCTCTCCGTTCTGCGGCAGTTAGGAAGCAGAGCAGGTGTTGGCCTGATGCGGCTCGCGGTTAGGGTTTATAATAGTCTTCAATACAGGGGGGATGGCACAGTGTAACCTGCAACCTCATCGAGTAGTGTACGTTACAGACTCTCAACCCAGGGCGCGTGCACACACAGGGGGGAGGGGATGGGCCTCCCTTCTTTGGCTGTGTTTGGAAGAAGAGAGATAAAGAGGTAGAGCGGATAAGAGTGAAAGCGAGAGAGAATGTCGAACCTCAGCCGAAACGGCCGTGCCTGAGCAGTTGCCAGAACCATCGACGCCCCCCCCCCCCCCCCCCCCNNCCCGCCCCCCACTCGCTGTAGCGGCTGAACTGCCTGGCCTTTCGTATCCTTTCGTCCCCCTGCCCTGCACGCAAGTTCCAGAAGCCCGTCACACGCCAACAGTGTACAGTGCAGTGGCAAGGCCTTTGAACCTTTGGGTGCAGTCATTGCCATCCGCCTGCTCTGGAGGTTCGGGTGGTGCCTGGGATGCTGTGATCTTCGTGCAATCCGTTGTCTCTGCATTCCTGGATGCAGCCTTGGCTCCACTGGCATGTTTTGGTTGACGGGTGCTCACACGGCGCGAATCAGATCGAGTGGGGGCGCACCGGTGGAGGTGCAGGCGCAGGGGTGCCTGCGAAAGTACTCCAGTACAGAATG